CACTGGCGTCGACGCGTGGGTGTACGACGGACTCTCGCTCACGCACGTCACGCGCGTCGCGTCGATAATATCGGCTTTTCCCTTGCGGGACACCGCCTCGGCATCCGTCGACCGACCAAAGCAGCAGCGCAGCGTCGCCCACGCAAACCCGGCGCAGAAAAGGACCGCGACCAGCACAAGAAACCATAGCGGGTACGCCACTCCGCTCGCCGTCATCGATGTGTCCGTTGCCATCTTCGTGTCGCGCCAAATGGAAAATGCTCCAACAGGATCTCGTGTCGGCTTTGTGGCCGATTCTTTGCATTCGATTGTGCCTGCGACAACCCACAACAAACAGCAAACAACTCATGCGTCTTCACAAACCATCGAAATATTGACGGCTGGCGACCACAAACGCAAGTTCCTCGTTGTCTCTGTGGACATTGGAGAAACAGTCGGCGCGTCACGTGACGACCCGACACGATACCGCGCTTTTGTATTCTCACGTAAAAGCTTCGTCGGCAACCATTTGCGCTACATTTTTCGGTTGAAAAAAGAAAAAAGCAAGAGAAATGACGATCCCATCGCTGCCGACCGAGATGCGGGCGAGAGATGCTGCCTCGTTTGAGCCACCGGTTGTCGTTGTCGCTACCGTCCATCTCAACGTCCTCTTGAATGCCACCATTGTGCTGGGCTTGGCCATCGCTGTCGCGTTCGTCGTTCATCGCGTCCAGTGCTGTCTCCGCGTCCTTGTACATCGACGCAGACTCGCTGTCGCACCGACAACGTTATCATCCACAACCCACAAGTGGTCGTTTTGACTGCAAAATTTCGAAATGCAGCCGCTTTGTACATGCGTCGTGGAGCTGATAACAAGAAGTCAACTCATGAAAGTCGTGGCGCCTGACGTCGGTACAGTGAAAAAGGGTTTTCGACCTCAATCAGGTGATTTCACGTTGCTAGAAGCGGAATGCCGAATATTTCCACCGTCGTCACCTTGATAACAGAGCGAGCGGAATATGATTCAATAGTGAAGGCGATACAATTGTACAACAGAGACGGAGACTCCCTTCGCGCATAGCTGGTCCACCCTGGTCCTTCTTTCGAATGCTACTGCGCTTGCATGTACCAAGGGTCAATAATCAGCTGATTATTGACCCTTGCATGTACTAACTTATACTGCACTGCGTAGTAGCTTTTTCAAACTTGCAATATCGTCGGTCGTTGGGTTTCAACCTGTCGGTTTTGCAAAATCTCGGTTACAACCTGTGCACAAAAATTACAAAAAAGTACAACGCGCATGGGATCGCCGGTGCAGCCGACGGAAGTGCCCACCGCCGCTGCACCGAGTCGCACAGGGGCTGTAGGCGCCGTTATCTGGCTCTTGTTTGGCGCAAGTGGCAGCCTCTACTACGTCGCCTTGTTGCAGCCGACGCTGGCCAACGATTTGTGGTGGTCACACTTCAACGCGTCGGGCTACCAAACGCTGCTTGTCGACGTGGTCAACCAGCTGCTTTTGTCGCCACACCTCGGGCGCGTGCAGTTGGCCGCCGCATCGATCCTCGAGACGCGCTACGATCGCCGAATTGCGACACCGGTCTCGCACCCTACGTACACAATGGCGCTCGTGACGACGCGCCTCGACGCGATCGAGTATGGTATCTTGCAGCTGCGCAACACTTCGTGGTGGACGCTCGCGTGGCTGCCGACCCAATACTGCTACGTCGACTTTGAGAGGCGGTGGGCCATGGCCCACACGGCGCGCCGCCAAATGCGCTGCGATACACAGTTTGCAAGCAATGGGGCCGTGTACCTTGAAGCGGTCTTGCGCAATACGAATGCAGTCGCGTTCACCGCGTTTTACGCCGGTAAATTCGATGTCGGCATCACAGAGTACCTCGCCACGTCCGAGGCGGGCGCGTCGTGGATCGCGACAACGACAACGACAAGTGCATCCAGTCAAGCGCCGCTCGCCACGGAAGCGAGCTACTGGCGCTCCCATAATCTCACGTCGTTCGCCTTGCAGTGGCAGAATTTTGTGCTCCCGGGTATTGACGAGACCATGACGCTAACCACCGCGCTCGGCCTCGACCATGTCATTGCGCTCAAAGCCTACGCGCGCCGCGACGGGCCGTGGAGTAGCGCGATCTACAATGGCTTCTTCGTCACCGACCTCGGGTGGGGCGCGGCGGCGTGCAACCGCAGCTTGATCCGAAGGTCGCCCACCTTTTTTCTAACTGCGCCGTGCCCTCGACTGGGGTCCCCACCGTTGGAAGGCATCGTGGGGGTGCCGATGGCCAACGGCGAGTTTACCGACCAAGCACATTTGATGCGAAACGCGCTTGGACCATTCCTCTCCGTGGACCTCTACGTTGTCCCTGTACCGCTCGAGCTCCACGCGCTAAGCGAGGCATTTCGAGTCGCGCTGGTCGCGACGATTGCGAGTGCAAGTTGGGTCCATGCGCTGGACCTCAGCGCCGGTTTCTTCCTCGAGGTCGACCTCGCGCCCTTGGCGTGGCGAGCTGCGGATCGCGTCTACTACGGCGGCAACCCGACGTGTCTTTGGAACAACCCAAAGCCGTTTGTGCAACCGCCCTTGACACATATGGACGACTGCAGTGTGCAGCGACCTTGGTCCGCGGCGCTGTCGCCCGAGCTCGTGCTCTTTGGACTGAGTGCAATGGACAAAGTAGACACACGTACCATCGACGACATTTGCGCGCACCAGACGGCTCAACCGGTCTGCATCAGCGTCCTTACGGCGGCGGCACCCCTGGCTATGCGCTCGATCGTGCATGACGCACTGCCATCGATCGTGATGCCGCTCAACGTCTCGGTGTTGCAGCTCGCTTCGGACGCAAGCGCAAGCAACTGGACCCTGTTGCACCAGCGATTGGCGTCCTGGGAATTCTTTGGACCGCTTTTGCTCTTGCAGTGGGCCCAAGGCCTCCGAGAGGTCGTCGCCTTTGCCGGCGACAACGGAACTCTGGTGCTTCTCTCGGACATTCCGTTGCCCAGCGCACTCCATGCCAACACGTCGGCGTTGAGCGCGGCGAGTCGCGTACTGCTGCTCCTGATAGTCTACTCGGCGGCGGTGCTTGGCGCCATCGCGCTTCTTTTGATTGTCCATATTCTCCATGTTCGAGGGCGATGCTCAAGCCAAAATCTTCTCTTCTTTCATCGCGTGGCGGGCTCCACGTGGCTCGGCCGGCCGCTCATGTTTCTTCGGGGATCGGTCGCGCTCGTGCTTCTCGCTACGGCGCCGATTGGCGTTCATCGTGACGCCGTGCGCGTCACGACGTCCTTAGTGTTGCCCGCGCGGTCCATCGTCGACATTGCGATCCTCTCGAGCGAGGCCAACTGGGTGGCGTATGTGTGTTACGAGCTGTTGCTGCCGCTACACGCTCGCCCATCGCGCGTACCTGCCGTCATGAGCTCCATGGTCCTGTGGTGTCTTTGCTTTGGCTGGACACTAGCATCCCCCGTGGCCGTTGAAGCCACGCTAATGCGGGAGTGCAGTGCCATCAACATGTATCAGGAGGTGCTTTGTACCAGTGCTACCGTCGTTCTTGGCTCCACACTGCGCGTGCTCGGGCTCTTTGGCGCTCAACTCATTGGAGTCGTTGCCGCCGTCCTCTGTTCTGGCCGATGGTCAATGCCATCGCTGGCCGCGTACGAGCCGCCGGTCATGATCTCGGGGGCGGGACAGGCGTTCTTAGCGCCGGCGCCCCCCGATGTTGTTGCAGGCGTCCTCTGCGGCCTTGTGCCTCTACGTCGCAACACAGTGTTTGACATCAAACTCTGGACGATCTCGTCAGCGTCGTCAGCGTCGTCCACCGACGCGACGGACGACCGACTGCGATCGCGCGCGCCGTCCGCGACCCTTGTGCCCGTGCAAGCGTCGTCGTGGAAGGTGAACCTGCTGCTCAAGTTGCTCGGCGTCGCCGCCATTGCGCTCGACCTCTGCGGCAGTGTCTCGTACCTAGCGCTGACAAAAGAGAGCATGCCCAACGACCTTCTCTGGCCGCGCTTCAACATCTCGGGCACGCATGCGTTTCTGGCCCAATGGTTTGTCGACGAAGGCGCACTCGGCACCTCCGAGCACGCGTTGGACAATATTGTCATCAATGCGCGTGGCGACTTTTCGACACCGATCGCTTCGCTTCCAGTGCTTCCGCAAGGCGGCGCGCGGGCGCAATATACAACCCTAACCTCGCTCTCGGATGCCATTGCGGGCCTCCGACTTGTGGACGGCTGTGATGGTCCGTACGTCTTTACGCAGTACTGCTACCTCGACTTGGATCAAAAATGGGAAATGGCCAACTCGATCAAGCGCCAAGAACGATGCAAGTCGATGGTCAACAATGGCGCGGTCTTTCTCGCTTCTCTGCTTCGGAACGTCGATGTCACAGCGTGCTGGGCCGAGTCGTTTGAGATTGGGTTTGGCTCCGAGCTACGGCAGTCGTTAGCCGGTCAAGCTCTGTTAGCTTCTTTTACGCCTCCGTACCTCTCGATCGACGACGAAGTGTCTTATTGGACGCAAAAAGATATCAAGTCGTATACACTGCAGTGGCAAAACTACAAGTCGATCGGTCTCGTCAACACGTACAATATTGTCAATGCCTACGGCGCCTCGTATCCGTTCACGCTGCAGTCGACCGCGGGGTACTACCGCTTGGCGAGCCAGACGTCGTTCCTCATGTACTGGGGCCTCGCCAACGACCTCGGGTACCTCCTCCCCAATATGTCCATCATCGGAAGCTACAGTCTCTTGCGGTCGAGCCACCGATTTGCCTTTCGAAACCACTCGCTTTCAGATGTGTATATGACGACCGGGCTTCTTGACCCGACAATGCCAGGCATAGAGCACGCGTTGACAAGCTCGATTGGTCCGTATGGGACAGTTGACATGTACTTCGAGCCGGTGCCGGAGCTCGTCCGGCGTGGGGCCCACGCCGCGTACAATGTACTGCGCACCTTGCGCGTACTAGCACCCGCTAGCTACGACGACGTCAACAACCCCCCGTACGAGGTGTCGCCAGTCCCACTGGCGTGGCTGGACATGAATTTTCGCGCCGTGGGCGGCTCGGTGCTCTGCCCTCCGTCGCTCGGTTATGCGGCGCCAATTTCCATGCATATGTACGAGGCCTTTACGTTCGAAGCACCGTGCTCCACACTGTTGGCCTCGACGTCGTTTGCTCCGACGGCGGACCAGCACCTCTTTGCCTACATGTTTACCGCAAGGACGACGACCAACGATCTACCGTCGCTCTGTGCTCAAGCAGGAACGCAAGAGTGGTCGTGCAACGCGACTGTGTCCCGCGTAGCAGAGTTTCTCGCGCCTTTTGCGAACCTTGTGGAGAATCTCACGAGCCTCTACCGCGACGATATGGTCACGGCCATGTCCCGTCTCGGTGTTGAGCTCTTTCAGTTTGGCAAGGCGTCGTACCAAGCCCCAATCTCGACCTACTATTTTCCAATCTTGGACCCGCCGTTCGACTACTTTGGGTGGCTCTGGATCGACGACTGGGTCCGAGGCCAGCGCGACGTCGTCACGTTTCTCGGGGATGCCGGGCGTCGCACCATGATCGGGGGGCTGCTGCAAGCGTCGTCCCAGCCCGTCGATCCCGCCGAATTGCCAACGGTCTTTGCGTTGTACGCGCGCCGCGGTGTGCAGTACGTGACGCTTATCATGCTCTCGTTGGCGAGTATTGTCTTGTTGTACACAATGGTATTGCGCGGCGCCATGGAGGGCCGGAACCTCTTCAAGCTCAGCCGCGTCGGTGGCTTTGTCTGGGTCGGACGGCCCCTCATTGGCCTGCGGAGCGTCACGGCCCTCTGCCTTCTCTCGCGCGGCACCGTCGCTTTGACCCGCGACGGGCATTTCACAGCATTTGCGCCAGTCCACGTTCCTTGGTATGCGACGGTCCTTGCTGCGAACGAAGTCACGTGGCTGTTGAGCCTCGTCAACGATCTCGATCTGCTCTTCACCCGTGGCACCAGCGCCACGTACGCGACGATCGAGATGCTCGTGGTGTGGAGCTGCACCGCGTGCTTGACGGTCTATGCCCCGATCCGCCCGACGATTGCCGTCCACCCGATCTGTACGCCGGTCGAGCTCGACTTTCAAGTGAGCTGCGTCGCTGGCACCGTGCACGCGGGCTCGTGGACCCGTCTTCTAGTCTTGGTCGGCCTCGTCGTGGGGCTGCATGGCGTTGGTGGTACGCTCTGGCGAAGACGGTGGCCACCACCAGTGCAATATCGCAGTCGGTCCCGCTTGCTCGCCGGCGGCGCGAAATGGCTCTTTCACCACGGGCCGTGGCAGGTCGACCGCGTGTACTACTTGGACCGTGCGTCGGCGGCGCTCAATGGGCTCCTTAGCGCTCGCGCCGGCAACGTCTTTTTTGTGCTGGACGTCAAAACGTGGCGACTCTTGCAGCTGGGTCCTTGTGCCCGCGAGGATGATGGCGGGTTCGCCAAGGCACTGCCGCTCGTCGACGACTGAGTTTGGGTCCTAAACACAGCGCATATGCACCAAAACGTCAAGCGACCACCAACGTTAACGAAGGAGAGACTAGTGTGCCACGTTCCATACATGGGTGTGCGTCAAGAAGGCTGCGAGGCTGCCACGTCAGGAACGAATTTTAGCCAATGAGAAGCAAGGAAGTTCAACGTGAGCGTTAATTTCCAATCAAAATGCGACGAATTCGACCACATTGCTGCTACGTCAACAAGAGTAGTGGAGAGCTCGAGGTCTCTTATCGGGGTGCTATCCGACTGGAGCGTTTGGCGGAACTTTCGGGGGCGTGGAGACTTGGGCCGCTGGGCGCAGTGGGGCGCAGAACGGTTTGCTTCCGCGGCCGGCGCCACTAGACAGAGTAGAGTACTAGAGTGCACAGATTGTCGTCGTGATCGCGTACAGCATTGACGCTCACGACCTTGTGGACAGCGTTTTTAAACACTTTTTGAAATTCCCGCAGCACGCGCGTCGGGTGCGCAGCCACAAGCGGTGGAATCAGCGACGCTTCGCAGTGGCTACGATCCGGACACACATGGTATAATTCCACATACACAATGTACTATACGCTTTCCATTCCGCGGCCTGAAATTCCGCGTCGAGACGACAGCCGCTAAAGAGAATGTCCTGAAGCGCTTCGAGTATGCGCGGTGTCTTGTTGACGGCGCGTTGAAACTCTAAGATTTAGTGCAATATTGTTTGACAAATAATAAAATAAGAAAAAATAAGAAAAAGAAACAAGAAAATAGTGTACCTTCGACAGTAATGTCGCCATCGCCGTTCTCATCAAGGGCGCGCATGATCTCATTGACGTTGTTTTCGAGTTCGAGCCCCTTGACCTCTGAAATTGCCCAGTTACTGGACAGATGGCGTGTACTTTATCGCACCGTGCAGCTGCAGCCCGCGTTTTCGTGAGACTAGTGTCTTGTGAATTTCTTGCTTGGTAACCGTGCCACCGCCATCCAGATCCAGCACCTAGATACGAGGTTAGAAAGCATCGAAAATGTACAGATCGGCAATTTACCCAGTGCACCATGCGTGCCCGTGCATCGGGCGTGCCTTGCATGAGCGTCGAGAGTCCTCTACACCATTATTCATCATCATGTTTCCATTGTCGTAATCGATATTTACTGAATGAATTCGTCAAAATCCACAAATTGGTCCTTGTTGGCGTCGAATGCTAGAAAGAGACGCATCGCAAGTGCGTGGTCCACGGGGTGGGAGCGTGCGAGGCGAAAGAAATACGAAATGATCGCGGTAAAGCCGTAGACATCAATCGAGTTGGGCGCTTTCGCATCCGAACGCGGCGCTACACTCGTCGGTCAACTGAATAGGTTGTGAGAAAGTACGCACCACTCGCTTGCAAGCCCGAGCTCCACAACTTGCGCAGCGTACGAAGCCTACGTGGCACTGCATAATGCTAAACGTAATGGCTGTTCGCAGACCCGAGTTTGAGCTTGACGTTCTTTGGGTGTACGGCGAGGCGAAGGGGAAGGGCGCCGGCAAAACAGTGAAAGAACATTGGTATTCGACTGCACGCAATGCAAAATTCCTAGTGAAAACCCACCATTTCCATTTGAAATATTGTCATATTGTACAAAATCGACAGTCGACGCACCTGGAATTCCATGTGCCCGTCGTGGTTGCGGTCGACGACCCCAAGCAGCTGTTGGCTAAATAGAATTTGGTCCCAGAGGTCTTCTTTGTCCGACTGTAGCGTCTGAAACACTTCGTCCACTTCGATGGACCCTAATCGTCGTACGAGGGTAGACCATATGTTTATTATGAAAACGTACGTACCACCGCCGTCGCGGTCGTAAATGGAGAAGACCCACTTCATTTTTTCAAGGTCCGTGCCGTGCACGAGCAGGTGGCAGAGCTGTGCAAAGTCGCTTAGCGTCACGGACCGTTCTTGGCTCTTGCCGTGGTGCTGACACGCCGCGGGGTAGCACTTGGCGGCCCACTCTTGGCTGTCAAAGCCCAGCGTCAAGCACAGCATCTAGTAGAAATTGTTCGCATGTCCCATAAGCTGGTGAAAACACAAAATGACCTTGGCAAATTCATCTTTCGAGAGCACGGCTTGGCCCGAGATCTTCTTCAGTACCATCGTGGGCGCCCCGGGGTGCAACGACGCCGCCACTTGGGCGTACGTCTGTAAAATGGCCTTTGGCACAACGTCCGCCGATGCTTTTTGGTTGTCGAGATCTAGAGAGCCATGCAGGCAAGGTCTAGGAGGCAAAGGGCTACCCCGCTCGGCGTTTGCCGATGCAGTCCGGCGCTTGACGGCGATCGAGAGCCTACAACGACTTGTTTTTTGTACACCGACCATAGATAGGACTCACTTGCGGAGCTGGCGCGCTTGCTGGGCGACGCGGACCATCGTGTAGAGTGACGTGCCCGGGGTGTCTTCTTCGACCACATTCGTGTCGGGTGTCGCACTCGGTGGTGGCAGCGACGTTCGCGACGGCAGCTGGAGCTCCTCGACCTTGGCGACGCTGAAGCGAAGGCGGTGCACCGACTCCCTTCGACCGCGCATAATTTGGAGCGACATGTCTTGGTCGCTGGTCCGCGACGAGAGATTTTGCAGCGACTGGTGCAATACCTCCTATTCACATCTGCGTCCTCCTCCTCCAAATATACTAGAGATGCAAGTACCTGCGCCATGTCGTGCTGGGACGACTTTTCCTTGAGCTCGTGGATTTGTCGTTGCGTGCGGGCAGACGTGAGCTCCCGCGACAGCAGCGCCCGTGACGACGGTACTCGCGCTCCCCCGGTGGTCAGCAACTTGTCGGGTCGAAACGGTTTGGACAGGGACCCCAGTTGGCGCAGCTGAATGTGAAAGAGCGACTCCTTGCGCTCCTTGAGGTACGGCGTGGGCGACAGTAGCGCGGTGGCAACCAACGGCACGCTCGGTGCATCGACCACCAGCGTTCCAGACGGACGACTTGTGTTTGGACGAGCCGGCGACGTCGTTTGGGGTCGTGGCGTCGCGGCTGGATCAATGGCGTCGAGCTGCGCTTGAAGATCGGCCTTGCCGTTGTGCCCCGTGGTTATTTGCCTCGTGGTGGCCACGGTGCGCAGCGCCTGTAGCAGCGCTCGCGTCGTACAAGCAATCTCATCGTCGTCACTGTCGTCGACAGCCGGCGACGACTCGAGCGTCGCCATCTCGACCGCCATGTTTAGAAAAGACACGTTGAAACTGGCGCGGGAACTTGACTTGACAGCAAAGGCTTGCGGCGGAGGAGAAAGGAGGTTACCAGATTAGAATAATTCACTTGACCGCAATACGCCGACTCCTCTTTATTTGTCTAAGACGCTCTTCTCAAGCTAGTTTTGGACTCTTATTACCGGTGTGGATGAACAATTCTATTGAACCCACCATCAAAAACGACTCTCTTCCATGCTTCGATTCATAAAACTTGCGATTCACACGATTTGTGATTCACAAAACTTGTGATTCAAAAAATTTGGGAATGGCTGACGAAAAGATGCGAATGCACGGTTGCCGCGAAGCACGAGTCGAATCATCAAGGGAGCCACGCGAGAAAAGGTGGCAGCTTCGCGAGACAAGGTGTCGTCCCGTAGGCTATACGCACGCCATTGTACGGCGATATGGCCCATGTCCACGGTTGGTTTGCAGGGAAAAGTGGTGTGCCTGTAGCCTGGCAGAGAAGTAAGTTCGTATCCGGATCCGGTCATTTTCGCTTAAGCAACATTTGCACGCGTCATGCGCTGGGTCGTGCTCTTCCTCTCGCTGCTACAAGTGGCGTATGGCCTCAAGCAAGACTGGGTCTTCGGCGACGAGACGCGCCGCCAGTTCCTCATCGAGCGCTTCGCCTTTGACGCCGACGGCCAGCTCGAGGCCGAGCTCCACGTCGCCCCGGCCTCGCAGCTGGCACGGACCAGCATCCTCTTTGTTCATGTACGACGGTCGCCGCCATGGCCCGCTCATGCAATGGGTCGTGTAGGAAGACGATCTCATGGAGGACGCCGCCGCCTACTTTCAGCGACCGTACGATGCGGTCGTGTGCATCTTGGACGCACAGCCCGCGACCACGCGCATGGATTTTGACGACGAAAAGACGTGGCACATTGCGCACCCGATCGAGCGTGCAGGCTTTTACTACGTGCTGTTCGCCCACTGCGGCGCGCAAGACACGGAAGTCTCGTTCTCGGTACGTCCATACCTTGCGTCGTCGGGTTGTCCACGTTGCAATTGATGCGTTTCTCCTATGCAGATGCGCGCCGTGTTCAAAAACCCGGACGGCAACTACCTCTCGGCCGGCGACGCGCCCGTGCCGCTCATCTACCTTCTTACGAGCATCGTCTTTCTCACTGCGGGTTTGCACTGGGCGCGCGTGCTGCACGCCAACGTCGCCCACGTACGGCTGTGCATCGATGCTCCCACATGCTTATCTTCGATATGTGCTAGATCCACCATATTCACTACATGATGGCGGTCCTCGTCAGCGTCAAGGTAGACAATATTGCCATTGTCACGAGTCGGAAATCGTATTCCGTAGACACTGTCGCTCTTTGCCGAGTCGATGCGCTTCTACTACATGAAGGCGCACGGCGACACGATGACGTCCTGGAACGAGATCTACTATGTCTTTATGTTCCTCAAGGGCATCATGCTCTTCGTCGTCATCCTCCTCATTGGCACGGGCTGGTCGCTCCTCAAGCCGCACTTGAACCCGTCCGAGAAGCAGATCATCTTTGTCGTCCTCCTCCTCCAGGTACATGGTCTTCTTGCTGCTAAATCCAGCAAAAATCAAAATGCGCCTAGGTGCTCAACAACATTGCAGTCGTTGTGCTCCAGGAAAGCTCGATTGGGACACAAGCCTGGGTCGGCTGGATATCTTTTTTTGCGCAGCTTTTTGTCTTTTATTTGTGGTATTTTGCGAATTGGAACCCTTGACCTAGTATTACCGCGATGTGATGCACCTCGTGGACATTGTGTGCTGCTGCGCGATCCTCTTTCCTATCGTGTCGAGCATTCGCCATTTGCGCCAAACAGCCGAGACGGACGGCAAAGGTATATCTCGTATATTGATACCTTGATACACGTCGGGCTCTCACGGTGATCTCATTAGCCCACATCAACTTGCAAAAGCTGACGCAATTCCGCAGCTTTTACATTGCCGTGGTTGCGTACGTATACTTTACGCGGATCGCCCTGTACCTGCTTGCGGCGTCCCTTCCCTTCAACGCCGTATCCAAGCGTCTTACAGAACCATATCTAACGCAAGGCTGCGTAGACGTGGATCTCGGTGCTCGTCGGTGAACTCGCGGCGCTTGCATTTTATGCTGTCACGGGGTATGACGGCGACCGTGCCTGGTGCTGTCCATGTATCCACTCGGTGACTAGGTGGAAGTTTCAACCGCAGTCGCAGAACCCGTATTTGGCGCTTCAGACCACCGTCCCGCTGGTACTACCTTGTTGCCGAATCGTCGGACGCGAGGTTGACTGGAATGTGGTTGACGTAGGATGAATTTGGCCTGGACGACGACGACGATGACTTTGGCTTTGGCCCGGCCAAAGCCTAGTGTCAGTGCTGCCCTTAGAACCACATAGCATTCTCAATGAATCTGTCTTCTACACCAATGCACAAACGTCATTCGAATGTGATCGACCTAATGCCAGCTTGCATCTTACGACCTTTGACGCTATCAGATCGTAGTGCATCACGCGGCCATGCTGAGCTCGTAGTTGTACTGTGATGACCTTGCCGTCGGTGATCTCTCCACCAGGCTTTTGATGGGAGCCCGCGCTGCGTTGACCATGTGGTTGTGGGGGCGAGGGATGTACGGACAAACAAGTTTTCAAGGTTAATCGAGTTCTAGCGACTAGTATCGTTTAGTGGGCCTTGCGCTTCTTGTCGGCTTCCTCAAAGTAGGCCTTGGAGTCCTTGGGGTTGGCGACCATCGTGTCGGCACCGGGCGTCCAGCCAGCAGGGCAGACCTCGCCGTGCTCGTCCGTGAACTGGAAGGCCTGGACGAGGCGGAGGATCTCGTCGACGTTGCGGCCGACCGGGAGGTCGTTGATCGTGATCTGGCGGAGCGTGCCCTTGTCGTCAATGATGAAGAGGCCGCGGAACGGGACACCCTCGTCCTCGCCGTCTTCGATCAAGACGCCATAGTCACGCGCAATCTTCTTGGTGACATCCGAGATGACCGGAATCGCCATGTGGCCGAGACCGCCTTCGTTGCGGGGCTGGTTGATCCACGCCAAGTGCGAGAACTTGGAGTCGCACGAGGCCGCGAGGACGACCGTGTTGAGCGCCTCGAATTCCTTGACGCGGTCCGAGAAGGCAATGATTTCGGTCGGGCACACAAAGGTAAAGTCGAGCGGGTAGAAGAAGAGCACGACGTACTTGCCCTTGAAGTCCGAGAGCGAGATGTCCTCGAACTCGCCGTTGACGACAGCGGGGGCCGTGAAGGCGGGGGCAGGCTTGCGGATGATGGCGACCATGGTGGCGAGAAGATGCAAAAGGCAAAGTGAGCTGGACTTTCTAGCGGCCGACAGCGTTTCGACTTTTGACCAATGGCATCGCACGCCATGGATTTTATTGTATACTTTTTATTACAACAGGCTTTTTGTATGAAAATGCGTGGCATTCAAATGGGGGGACAAGACAGCCGCTAAATTTCAACCAATGGCATCGAACCGACGGTGGATGCCAACGATGTTTCGAAGGCTTGTGAAGGCGACGTCGAAGCTTCGCGATCGTCCGACCAACTCATTATTAGCTGTGTGACGTGACCGACGACTGGCGCCTCGCCATGCTCTCTCGCAGCGCCTCTGCCCTCGGACGGCGTCCACTGGAGCCGCCGAGGCCATCGCAAAGGTATCTGAAAGACTTAGGGGATCGCCATCCTCTTGCACCGACAGTAACCGGTACGAGAGCTACGAGCCGTCGAAGGCGACCAAGCGAGCTGTGGTGCACGGTGGTGGCAAGATGCGGTGGATCCGCGGATTCCTCCACGTGGCACAACGATATGATTGGCTCGCCGTGATGGCTGCCATCACGTGATTGGACCACGAGTAGCCAGGCGGAAGCCGACGTTCAAGATCGCGAACCTTCGACGCCGACCGAGTTCGCGAGCGATCCGGCGGCTGTCTTTGCACTGCAAGACGACCGAGAAGCACCGAGGCCGCCGAGTAGTCACCAAAGCTGCTCTGCGACACTTGTTGGCTCACGCCGCTAGCCCCAGCAGCATGCTTCCGCGGATGTGACGCGAGATCGGGTCGTTGGACGTATGCGGTGGACTAGGTCTTTTAGCCGTGTGGCGACGGACCACCTGCGCTGCCGTAGCCTGCATGGCCAGCACGTCGCCAACACCGCGCAATGTCGCCGTGTTTGCTAGCGCTGGTTGCCCGTGCATCGATTGTATGCGAGCCTTGTTATGGAGAACGAAGGTTGAGGATGCGAACGTGTATTCATCAGAAAGACTCTCGGAGACGCGACTTGTCGCCGCTAAGGAGCAAGTGGGGCATGATCTCCTTTTGCTTGGCGAGCTGGAGCGTCCGAATCTCACGACAGACCTCGCCCACCTAGTCGTACATGCTATGCAGCGTCAGAAATCGTCCATACTCGCACCTCGACTTTGTGCTCGAGGTCAAAGTCGAACGCGTTAAAGATGAGGTTGATGTCGGCCGTCGAAAACTTGAGCTGCTGCAGTGCGATCGTGAATTGCTTGCGGTCCAGCCACAGGAGCGGCAGCGTCTCAGCGTCAAAGCCTGCATCGTACGAGCTCTTTTGCGCTTGGAGCAGCATGCGGCGGCCGCGGCGGTCCGTCGCTGCCGACTGCACGAGCCTAGCCCACCTTGCTGAATCGCAACGGCCAATTGGCGCCGAGTAACCTCATATAGTCGTCGAGGTCGAGCGTCTCGTACAGTTGTCGGAGATGCCCTGGGACGTTGGCGTAGGCTTGGTTGCGCAGACAGTTGAAGATGAATTCGATCGAGCGGTGCACGATCGTCTTGTTCCTACATGATAATAAGGTCAGCGTGTTCGAGTGCAAGCTATTACCGGCCGAGCGCCGCGTTCTTCTGGCCCACGACGCTGCGCCGCTTCTCGCGCTCAAACTGCAGCTTTTCCGAGTATTCTTCGACCTGCCACCGACATCATGTACCTCAGATAAGAACAAGGCGTACGGTGTTGCGCTCGGCCGCGTCCATGCAATAGACGGTCGCCGACCGCAGAAACGACAGCCGCGCCGTCTTGGGTCTACATGCCGCTTGGACCAAGGACAGAGAGTCGAAGGAGGCACCGTATTTTGGCACCGGCGACTGTGACCATGGGCGCGGCCTTTTGCACCGCGTGGAGTGCTGACTTGGGCCGGAGCTTGCGTTTCTCCAGCGTCGACGAGACGTTCGAGTGCAATGTCTCTAGCCCCAAGCGACACGCCCGGCCCGGTCTACAGGCACACAGACAATAATATTGTCCCTTTCCTACATATGGTGGACACTTGGACGCACTTTGCGATGGGCAAAGTGTACATTCGGCCCGGGTTCTTGTGTGCATTGTGTGCGGCTTCCAAATTCAAGTAGACGCGCTCTATCACATCGATGCGGGATGGAAGCCAGGGTTGATGGACCCTACCTGCGTCCTGCGCCGGCTGCAGCAGACTTTGCGTCGTCTGCACCGGCAGCGTATACGGCTGGACACCCGGAAACACGTCCGGTGTCCGAAGCGGAATCGCATTGATTGGTGGGGGCGTCGCTGGACGTGGCCCTTGGTTGGACGTCGCCATGTCGTTCTGGAAGAGGTGGGGCTTGGGCGGCGACGCGGGTGGTACCCACGCCGGTTTTGTGTCCGCGTCTTCCTCGTGCGGCTCCTCTGACACGAGAAATGCTTGTCAGCACACGTGTGGACACGACGTTGTCGTACCATGCCACGCCCGGGGCAAGTCGATGTTGTGATGACCGACGTTCGGCCGGCCTTCGATGCGCTTCTTCCACTCTCTGGGGTTGGCGAGCTCGGCGGCCACGTCCAGCGCCTAATAGACTTGCGTTTTTGCAGCCTTTTTTTTAAACAGACGACCTTCCGCGGCGGATACGCCAACAGCAGCGACTTGAACTCGTCCGTGAGACCATGCACCGCGAGCACTTGGCGAGAGCCGTCGCTCGGCGCCAAGAGCCCGTCCGTTCCTGCGCCTGCCAGTTTGAACCTACGTCCGCTGCGTCACGCGGCCACTTTGCCGTTGTATACGTACGACGACGCCGAGTTGCTATGACCGAGGCGCCACCCAACAGGGTGCATCGCGTCACTGTCGCCACTACCATGCTTGTGGTTGTTGTTGTTGCTTGGCTTGCGCGGCGACGGCACGGTCGAGTAGAGGTCATGGACAAAGCCCACTGCCGCCATCGGTGGTCGACCCTAAACACGTTTGGGCGGCTATGGTTACGCAAGAATAAAGGTAGAGGAGACCCCAATGGGCTGCGGACTCGGCGGTGGTGCCTGCGACGCCTTGCGGCGGCGCGTTGTGGGGCACTGCGCCGCTGACCCGACGTTGTAGAGAGCCGCTTTGCGGCGGATCTCGGCCACGTTGACCGGCGGCTTGTGCTTGCGCCGCTGCGTTGTCGTCGGATATACGCCTTCAAGCCTCTCTTTCGAGCTGCTGCGCACCCGCGCCGGCCTGGGATCGACCATCGGCGATGCGAGTCGACGACTATTCATAGATCGGATGACGCGCCGTATGCCGACGATTTAATAACTTCGGTGACTATAGTCGTTTTCGGTGTAAGAATAATAGTCTCCATCCAAATGCAAGCAATTCGCTCAAACTAACGCAAAGAGGTCGGTGGCGCGAGGCCGGAATGCAGTTGGCACGTGGTCGGTTCGCCCCAAGGAACATAACACATTGTTATTTTACTTTCTTCGTGTAGACTTGAAGAAGAAGCTACATGGTCCGCTGAAGTGGACCATGTAGCGTCTTCTTCAAGTCTACACCACTTGTTGTCGTAGATGGATAGAACCATCGAGTTTGACATCGTCTCGAGCCTTTCGATTACTCGCACTTGGCAACATTGCAAGGGTGCTTCAATATATTGATATGCCAAGTGACAGAGAGTGTCGTCGCGCAATATCTGATCGGGTGGCGCAAGACCGTTCGCCTGCAGCGAGCAATGGCAGTGCGTATTCGCTTTGGGTGGCGTATCACTAGCAACTGCCACGTCGAGCAGGCTCAAAACAACGAGAAACGAGAGAGCCACGATTTGTTCTGGTCGTCGAAGCGCAAAAAGATGCGTCGCGGTCAACTGCGGCAACCGCACGACCGACCATGGGTGCGCCACAGCTGTGACCATACGACAGATGTTGTCGCCCTCTGCGGCGGCCAGATGACCTCGGGCGCGCATCATCGTTGGAGTCGCGGCCCCAGGAAGTACCCCAAATGTGCATAGGATCGCAACGACATGAAACTTGCTTGCATGAGCATCCTGCACGTCAGCTATCGACAAGAGTTCTCTTGCGATATACTATCGTTGGTTACAGCTACGACGAGGTCGACAGGCGCCGCGCTCCGAGCCGCACGGACCACGGCGGATGACGACGACATCGCGAAGAGACAGCGAAGACGTGACAGCAACGCTCCAGAAAGGCGGCTGGATCGACACAGCTGATCCTTGATCTTGGGTGCCTCGTCCAGCCGTGACTAATTGCATCTTGAAATAGTCGTCGGCGTCGTAGACTTAGAGCCTTTGGGCTCTATTTGATAGCTTACTGGCGCGTCGAGGATCAGCGCTTTTCACCAAGTCCGCGTCGGAGCAGAAGCGAAAGCAAGGCGGCAAGTCCACGGAGCATCGACACCATCCCCATCGGACGATGCTGGGTGGCGACTCGGATTGAAGCGCGCGGGTTGCAGCTTAGACACGAAACAGATGGCTCAACGTCACCGACTCCGTCGCCCCCTCGCGCCACCGACGCGACCGGCTCGGTGGTCGTCGTGCCGCTCTCTTTCAAAGAGCACTGTCGAATGCGCTATCGTGTAGATGGTGTTGAGACGGCAAGAGAGAGCATTCGGTAGCAACAAAGTGAACACGAGCACAAGGCGAGGGTGCATCGCACGCCAAAGCCACGCCGACGCGACGTCCCACGGTGTGAACCATACGGTGGGCATCGTGAGGGCGCTTGAGTCTTCGCCATTCTTCAATTTGCCTTTTCAAGCGCACGTCCTTTTCAGCATGGGCCGACGACACAAGTCGATGCAAGGTTACCAGCAATACATCGAGTACCAGCGCGAGTACTACCGCAAGCACCGGGCGACGCGCCTCGCCAAGCAGCGCGAGTACGACCGGAAACGGCGCCACGGTGCGCACAAGTTGACCAAGTCGGACACGATGCCGCTGTCGCCAACGAGCTCGGAAGCGTCGTCGACGACCACCGACGCGCGCCCCGTCAACAAGCTCTCGCTGCTGTACATTCTCGTCTAGCCAACGCTCTCGTCGTCGTCTGTCGTGTCCATTGCCGTCCGTACTTCATGTCTAGTAGATTCGTTAGTCACTAATATACCTCGTGTGCAAATAGCACCGTAACCTTCAACAAATAGCTAGGCGTCGTGCTTCATCACCAAACGAGTGGACTAGTACTTCACGTTGAGCTCCAAAATGGTCGAAATCCTGGAGCAGAATACGAGCTACAGTACAGTGTACTTGTTCCGTTACGGTAGCTGCGCAGGCGTCGACATGGAGCCCACGGAGCTCAGCTGCCCCGCTCCATGTGCGGCGGGAGACGCGGCGACGACCAGGTCGTGCACTTCCATGATGCGCTGGCGTACCCATGCCAGTCCTAAATCACCGCCGCCTGTACAGTGGTGCGTCGTGGGTTTGCGAATGAAGCGTGGTGCGTCTGTCGACGCGTGAGTGCACCATTAGCCTGCACGAGGTCCACGTAGGCCACCTTCCCGCAACCACAGCGTGTGAGCGCAGCCACGGGCTCAACCCGCCGCGCCAACGACCTGGTCTGAACTGCATTTTGCCAGAAACCATGCCCTTGCCTCTGCTTTACAAAGCCACGCTGTGTTGACGGCGCGGTGCATGGGCACGTGCCTGTCGACGGAATCCGAGTTTAGCTACTCGGTTTCGACCACCCGACTAGAGTATGCAGTCTATATACCCAAGAGTGCGCTCGTATCGATAGACCCAGATTTAGTAGCGCCTCGGTGGGCCAAAGGGTAGTACGGGTGCAGCACTCGTCGGCGTTGCAGTGTCGCCCCGTCGTCATCATCGTTGATAACTCGACTGATCGCAGTTGCAGTCTGTGGTGGCGCAGGATTGGCTCGTTTAATGGCCAATCCGATGCAGTACTTTTAAATGATCCCCATCCAATACAAAAGACGAGGCATTTAAATCGATGCAAGCGAAAATCCAAGTAAAAATGGGATTGGACAAAAAGTGACGAATCACACAAAGCCAAGGATCGCATCGAAGCTCCACACCAATAGCAAGTCGACCAAGACGCGATCTGAGTTCGCGCCGATGACCGTGCCCCATGCAGCAAGCACGAGCGTGCTCACGGACGCAAGCCTCCTGCGCAGCATCTGCGCCTACCAGTATGGCTTCTTCGCCGACCTGCTCCCGCGGCTCGAGGAAGGGCGGGCCATGACCACGACCACCATTGGTGGGCTTATGCAGTATGAGCTGCCACCGCGGTACGCACCGCTTGTCGACACCCTTGCTGTCTTTGGCAGCTTTACGCTGTACCTACATCCGTTCGAGCGCGATGCGCGGTGTCCGCTGCACCTGGCGATCTTCGAGGGCCAACTCGACGTTGTGAAGCGGTTCCTCGGCTGCCGCGGTCGCGCCTGGCTCTCGGCCGACGCTTTTTACCTCGCCGTGCAGCGAGGCCACGACGCCATTGTGCGCTACCTCTGCGAGAAGCGTCTGTGTCCATCCACGGATGGGACCTGGCGCGACGCGCTCGCGCTCGCGGCCCGGCACAAGCGAACACGCGTCGTCGCCGTCTTACAGGACGCCCATGTGGTCGACGCCAAGCGGCGCCACGTCACGACTACGTAGCGCTCCCGCGTAAAACGATTCTGGACACTGCTGTGAATGTTTCTTCTTCTATTAGAGGCCTAGTACGCTACAAGATAGTTGTCGATGGGGCTTAGGACGCAATGGGCGCGACAGCTTCCTCCTTGATCGATGTTGTCGACGTCGTTGGTGCATCGTGCGGCTGCAAGTACTGCTTGGTGGTCTCATGCACGCAGAGCGTCGACTGGTCGTGCATGGGGCAGAAGGGAAAGTGGCGCTTTGCTTCGGACGTGCACGTCGGAACGAGGCACTTGATCCAACCCGTGTGGTGGTACCGAATGCGCGCGATCGCGCTCCAGCGGGCATCCGGGCGGCGCCCTTTGGTCGTCGGTGCCGAGGTCGCTGGCGGTGGCTGGGCCGTCGCGATCGGCGAGGCGGATGCATCGGACGTCGTGGTCGCGGGCGAGGCGAGGCTCGGCCGACTGCTTCGCTGCGTCTGCACGTCGCGGGCGTGGTAGAGGCACATGCCATTGTGCTTGGCGTACCGGCGGCAGTGGTCGCGCTGGCACCATGCTGGCATCGCGTCGTCTTCTTCTTCTTGATCGTCCAAATTGAACTGTGCGAAGCGCCGCCCGTTTTTGTGGAGCACGTCGTTTCGGCCAATATAGACTTAGCGTTGAAGTCGCCCTACCTATGTTTAGAGAGCAGAAGACTAGGCACTACCACGTCGACGCTAACCTTCGGCCGAACAAGCCGCGTTGTCCAATCGTCCAAGCAGCGACTTCGAACGTTTGCGGTCTAGTCGACGCATCGACTACTGCCCCATCTACTACATACGAGCAAGTCGAACCGAGTGTTCTCGAGAGGGCGCTAAGTATAACGCGTCCGTGCCGGTCAAAACGGTTGGAGAAAGAATAAGTGGAGGCGGTAGTCATCCCAGACGACTAAGGAACGTACCACCAAGACAGACGCGACGCGTGGGGCACCGCCGTAAGGCATTTGAGGTGCTTGAAGAGGACCTGTGCAAGGAGGCTGCATGGGACCAGAGGCGCGATGCGGGAGAAGGTGCAGGCGGTGCGCTTTTGGTGGTCAAGGTTCAAATGACGTGGCGCGATCCAGCGCCGTTTCAGGCCGTTTTCATTTTAGCTTGGTGGGCGACGATATTGAATGCGATAAGCAGTCGAGCGATGCGTCGATGGCACCAATTCTCATGGCCATCGTGCTTGCAAGCGGTGGCCGTGGGAAGGCTCGTGTTGTGCAAGCGTGCAGAAGGAAGCTCTTTGCTTGGTGATCGATAGAGGGATTGGGTGGTGGAAGATCGGCGGCGCCATGTCGCTGCCCGCGCGTGGCGCATGGAAGAGCGACGGCAACGTAAAGCGACGCCAAAAAAGATGAAGTACAAGCTTGTTAATGGAAGCAACCATCGACGGCGTCGGTGACCCTTCTAGATGTCGCTTACGCCTTGTGGGTTTCCTTGCGGGCGACGGGCACCTTGAGCACCACCTTTGTGACATGGCCGGTCATCAACTGCAAGACGCTGTCCTTGTTGCGCAGGTATTCGTTGCTACGCCCATGCGTCAGACGTCCTCGCCACGAAACGAGAGGTCGTACCGCATCTTCTGAATGTCCTGCTCCGTTTCTTGGTCCATGATGCTCGAGTCGTCGCCCAAAAGCTACAAGAGGCGCGTGAGCGGTGCCATGGCCTCATCGAGTACATACGTCGGTCGAGTTCATCTGGAAGGCCTGGTCCTGCTGGAGGCGGTAGGCCGCGATCTCGGCTTCCGCCTCGACCTTGGCCTGCTTAAGACGCTCGCCACGCTCTAGACACCATGGCCATGATGAGCCCGCGCCGCATCGAGATAGGCGACGCACCTTGGCGGGCCTCGCTGATGATCTTGGAGGCCTTCGTCTCGGCCGCCATGAGCTCCTTGATGCTTTGATTCGCCGCCATGCTGATCGTCGGGACTGACTTTGGGAAAATGGCCTCACAAATCGCCATCCGGAAAAGGACCGGCTTTTTGGCCAATCGCTGGCAACACCCGCGAAATAAAAAAGAGGATCTCCAATCGCTCGGCCAATTGTATTGTATCACTTGGTATTTGTAAAGAATTATTTTAAAACCGAAAGGAGCTCAATAAAAATACAAAAAAGTTGTGCGTCGTGGAAAACAGCACCCACCGAGTTGAAGTGGCAAGGTGCCGAGATCGACTAACTAAACGACTAAAACCCGATCCTCGGCCGCTCAACCGCACAAAGTCTCGTATCAGAAACACCAAGAGCAAGAAACGAAACCTCGTACCAGCAAATCAACCTTGGACGTGTGCTCACCAATAACTAGGGCAAGCAAGTCGCTGCCAGAGATGCCACCACTACGACAACCCTAGTACCAGCTCCCGTCGTCATATTCGTCATCGCCTACAGTCGCACACTGCATCATCGAGGTGCGCGTAGCGTGCTGGCGCCCTCAAGAGCATAAACACTAGTAGTGGTCCCAGGTATTTGATCTCGATCCAGTGGCAACCGAGACCCCGTGCACGGGTGACATTGGATCTGACTAAGCGTACTAGGATCTTATCGCCACTCGCCACCAAGAACGCATGTTATTGAGTGCGTTGGCCCGACACCACGTCAGCCGGTCGTCCAGAGGGCAGCACACAAGGGATAACACCCCGTCGCGGAACTGAAAACGTCGACCAAGATCCTTTTTTCCACAAACCGACCAAGCTGATACTAGGGATAGGGTCCGGTTTATAATCGTGTTGACATGGGCGACCGAGAGAGAACCATGGCAAGTACTACGGCGCCTTTGACGTTGCCAAATGGGTCTTTATATGAAGGTTGCGGAGCGTGTCGGTTGAAAGCGGCGTTGATGTAGCTGTCGGTGTTGCTGTCGGCGTCGGTGTTGCTGTCGGTGGTGGTGGTGGTGCTTCGTTGAGTGTGGGCCTTGAATGCCTCGAGCGGCTGGCGGAGCGTACGTGGGCGCAGTGGCGGCACCGCGGTCGACAGCGCGGTCTCGAGATGGCATATTGAAGCGAGCGACGTAGCTGGCCAAAGAGTGCTGGCGTCTGCACCGCACTGTTCTTGATTATGTTGAAGGGCACGGCTGCACGAAGGAGGCTCTTGTTCCAACGAAAGAGGACGAGACGCGTCTAAACCATACGAGGTCTCTGTGCAAGCTGTCGCCGTTGAGCCGAGAGTCGTGGAAGTAGCCTGTTGCAGCGACGACTGCTTGGGCCATCGTCTTGTGCCCACATGGTTCCTTCGCCGCCAAATTGCAGTAGCATGTCCAACGAGGTGATGAGAAAATACTCCGCCAGGACGTCGTGTCATCCTGCGCAACACGACACTTGGGCTCTAGCGCAGAAGACGCTCAAGTTTGCATGTACCATTGCCTCGTGACCCGATGTGCAGTACGATGGCTTTGTAGTGTCTTAGCGCTATGCGATGTGAGAGCGGACAGTCCACCGGCTGCTGGCAGAACGAGAAGAACACACTTGGCTACTTGAATGCAGAGCCGGCCACCAGTCACTTCGCCATGGTGGCGGCGTCGTGATCTGCAGGCTTATCGCACAGAAGACATTGCGATGTCGTCCTGGAAGAAGACTGCTGCTTGCCTCTTGTCGTCCTTTCTCCTCTCCATGTCATTGGCAAGAGCAATCGCTGTCGGGAAAATGACCAATCACGTGCGTCACGCGGACGAAATATAGCCAATCATTGCCGTGCACTCGAATCGCGCCGGGCCTCGCCACGACGCAGCGACGTCGTGGGGCTCAAGACGACGTGGACCAAGCGCATGCAAGAACCGTCCTCGCAGCAAGCGGGCGCGGGGCACCGGGCGGCGGCCGCTCGCCGGCCATGCCAACATTGAATCTTTGGCCAGGCAGCCAATCAAGAGCGCGGAGGGTGTGCATTTTGACCAATGAGCGCGCGATCCTCGAAGACCGTAGTTTTTATTGCCGTTTCCCATTTGGCTCGACACCAAGCAGGCGACGACGACGACGACAAGACGCATGGCCTACAACCCCACGTACCGTCCTGCATGAGGCGTCGACCTCTTCCTCCCCGCGCATGGACCCAACTGCTCCTCTGCGTAGTGGATCGCGCTTCGGGGCCTACGCCCAAGGTACGCCCGCGATGAGTGGCACCGAGCGACCGCGTCCGTAGACCCGCGGTACCCGCCACTCCAGCCCTCGACAGCCATGGCCGACCGGTACGTCGCTACGCATGGCCGCGCGCCAGTGCAAATCATGCGTCGTCTAGGTCCGTGACGACGTCGCCGCCGCAAGCCGCCGCAGGTACACCTCGTATATGCTCATCCATGCAAGTGCCCATGAGTCATCGACACAGGCAACGCTTCGCAATGGACGTCGCCACCTCCAGGTAGACGCGACGATCTACTTGTATACGTTGAACCTCGCGCATGTAGTCGCCCGCCCGAGCCCGAAGACGTCGCCGCTCGTCAATAGCGAACTCACATCGACGGCCGCGCCATTCGTGCCCAAGCAGCATGCGGCGCCCGAGCCCATGGTGCAGGTTTGCGCGACGACCTTTCCTTAGCATGCAACGTCCTCGTCCGTGTAGGTTACGCGGGGCGGCTGCATCTTTTACGTCCCCGAGTCCGAAGCGAAAGCGACGCCGACGAACGCAGTCTTGCGCCACGGACCCGGCGCGCAGCTCCACGTCGATATCCAGCCACCATACGCTGCGTCGGCCTCGGTCATTCCTTCGTCGTACGCTCTCATCGACCATTCGTCCTGTGCGTCATCCGCCGTCGTAGGCCGATTGTGACTACGCGCCGGTCGCTGGCGTCCATGGCGCTGGCGCCAACGGTCCGGCGTCAGCTCGACGCCGAGCACGAAGACATGCTGCGGCAGGTGCATCCGTCCGACGAGCGGTACAAGGAGATCCCGTCGCAGTTCCACTGTATGTGGCCGCTGGACGTCCAGGACGACGCGCTGCATCGTAACGTCGCGGGCAGCTTTGGGTATCCCTCGCACTGCTACAAGGTAGTCCTTGTCTCCCACATTTTGTATAGTCGTTTTGAACTAAACCACAACCTAGGTGATTAGCGAGACGGACGGACGCACGTATGCACTGCGCCGCGTCGAGAACGTGCGTACGACACCAGGAATCACACAGCAAGCTGTCGACAAGTGGAAGAAGGTGGTTCACGCCAACGTCGTGCCGCTCCATCGCGCGTTCGTGTCCCACGGCGGTATACCGATACATTGATACATTCGAAAACGAGGCGATGTCGATGGTAGCGCTCTTCTTTCTCTCCGAGTACTACCCGACCGCCACGTCACTGCATGCCAAGTACTTTGGGAGCCAAGCGTCGTCAGTCGCGTCCGAGGCTTTTCTGTGGAGTCTCTTGACCCAAGTCACGGGGGCACTCCGGGCCATCCACCGCCACGACATGGCCTGCCAAGCCATTGCACTCCGACGCCTCCTTGTCACGGGTAGGCCTACGTCGTCATGTGCGTGGGCGAAGCGCGTTGTAGGACACAACCGCGTGCGCATCAGTGGCACCGGTGTCCTCGACGTTCTCGAGTATGACACGTCCAAATCCAAGCGTGTCGAAGCGCTACAGGTACACACCCTTCTCTTGACCGATCGATGCGACGGATGGACGGCGTAGCAAGACGACTTGGTCAACCTCGGCAAGGTCGTGCTCAGCCTTGGTGTCCGACAAGAGATGTCGGCGACGTCCAACGGTACGAAGGTTGCGGGATCTACGATCTGATGGGGCGCTAGTCTCGGACCTTCTCGCACAGTTTGCGACCACCTTCTCGGACGAGCTCACGGCCGTCGTCCGTGGTCTCACGCTCCAAAGCACCACCTCGGTACGAATCGGTGGCTGTTGCCCTATGTTTCACACAGAATGCTAGGCGAATGACCTCGCACTGATGCTCTTTGATCGCACCCAGGCCGAGCTCGACACGCAGTACAGGTATGCGCATCTGGTACTTGTAATGTGGTCAAGCTGGCGAATGTAGTCTGGCCGATGAGCTGGAAGCGCAGTTGTCGTCCGAGTACCAGAACGGCCGCATGCTGCTGTTGATGCTCAAGCTCGGTCTGATCAACGAGCGCCCGGATGTACGACTTGCGTCACGCGCGCCGAGGCTCATCATGCTGCCATAGTTCAACTTGGACAGCTCGTGGGCCGAGACGGGGGACCGCTACCTCCTCAAGCTCTTCCGCGACTATGTCTTCCACCAGGTACGACAGAAAAAACCTTGTCGGTGCTGAGCTGTCGTAGGTCGACGAAGAGAACCGACCGGTGCTCGACTTTGGTCACATTGTCGACGCTCTCAACAAGCTCGACGGCGCGTCGGCCGAGAAGATTCTCCTCTCGTCCCGGGACGGCCAGTCGGTCCTTGTCGCGTCGTACGCAGAAGTCCACAAGTGCGTCAAGCAGGCCTTTAGCGAGCTGGTGGCCGCGGCCCAGCGCCAGCGCCCGTCGACAACGCCGCTCGCCAAGCCCGCACCGTACGGCGGTCGCAGTACCAACGGCCGTGGGCGCGGGCGTGGCCGGGGCTGATGCGTCTCCACTTGTAGTAGTCTCTTCATTCTTTCCTCGCTGACGACCTTATAAAAAACGCAATACCTCCGTCGTCTTGGGTCGCAAGGTGGTGGCAGAGCTTCGGGCCAGGTACGCAGGGGATAAGAAGGGTGCAGATCGACACGTATTGGATGTAGCGGTCGTTAGTGGTACACGCAACAACCCATCTAGATGACGCTGGCTTCGTTCTTGAGCTTCTCGACAAGCGTATCGACGTCCGGAACGAGGATGCCGGCCTTGCGCGTCGCCGGGTTCTCAACCTTGACGGTCGTGATGCGGGGCGTGACGTCGACGCCGAGGTCCGCGATCGACTTGGTCGCGATCGGCTTCTTCTTGGCCTTCATGATGTTGGGGAGCGTCGCGTAGCGGGGCTGGTTGAGGCGCAAATCGGCCGTGAGCACGGCGGGGAGCGGGCACTCGAGCGTCTCGACGCCCGCGTCCGTTTCGCGCGTGACCGTGGCCTTCTTGTCGGCGATCGTGAGCTTGCTCGCAAACGTGGCCTGCGGGTAGTTGAGGAGGCCGGCGAGGAAGCCACCGGTCTGGCACGCATCCGAGTCAATGCTCTGCTTGCCGAGGACGACGATTTCGGGCTTTTCTTCCTCGACAATCTTGGCGAGGAGCTTGGCGACCGCGAGCGGCTGGAGGTCCTGGTCGAGGCGCATGTCGGTCTCAATGTGGATGCCACGGTCGCAGCCCATGGCCAAGGCCGTGCGGAGCGTCTCCTGCGCCTGCTTGGGCCCGATCGAGACCGCGATGACCTCGGTCGCGAGCTTCTGCTCCTTGAGGCGGATGCTCTCTTCGACCGCGATTTCGCAGAACGGGTTCATGCTCATCTTGACGTTGTTGAGGTCGACGCCGGTGGGCGTCACGCGGACCTTGACGGCGTAGTCGACGACGCGCTTGACAGCAACCAGGACCTAGGCCATCATGGTCAGGCGAAGCTCGGCGAAGTCAGCAGGCGCTTCCTACCTTCATGGCAAATGTGGATTTTGCTGTTTCGTATACGAGCCACAAGTGGAGGCTCGATTAAGTCCGCACGTGGCACACGCCATTGCGCTGCGTGAAAGACTTAGTCGGATGCGCATTTTACAGAACCGCACTTGAGTGGAGACGTGCGGTGACTGTTGACGCAGCATAGAGCATACACTGCATGGGCAATGCACTGGATCCTGGCAGCATCTTTGCCAGGACATTCTTGCATGCAGAGAAGCTTTGAAAGTGCTCGCACCGCGCTGCCATGGAGCGCCCCGGAAGAACCCGCTTTTCGGAACGAGTCCAGTCGAGACCACTGTGCGAAGGCAGGATGCAACGGCGTGGCGAGTAGAGGTATAGCCCTGAGTGAGAAGCTTCGAGTTCTTCTTTAGAAACAGCGTCATAGGAGCCGCCGTTGGCGGCCGCTGGACGCGACGAAGCCATGCGAGGGACTGTCGGTAGGTCGTGGATGCTGACGAAGGAGTGGTGTCGTCACCACCCCCGCGTCGCATTTGATTGGTGGCTCTAGTTCAAGTTGCCGTTTGATTGGATCTCTCAAACATCGCGCCTTTCATTGGCCAGAGGCTTGACACGCATCCGGATATAACCGGACGAAGTGTCCGGATATAGGTAACCGGATGCATGATGTGGCGTGAGAGCTGGGCGTGGGCGACGAGTGGGCCCTTGCCGTCTTTAGCTTGGGCTATCGCAGCGCATAAGTCTTGAATCCAGCGTATAAGTGTTCTCTAGTCTTATTGGAGCGCGTACTAGTCGAGTATACAAGTGTAGCACGTGAACACCACTGCGGTGATTGTGCCACGGCGCCTCGCGGCGATTGCCGAAATTACATGTCGCGCACCGCGACGGCGCGCCTGCTGCGGCATTCGTCCTTGGCGCCTTCGGCATATATTTGAAAGATGCCGAAAATATCAAAGATACGCGATCGCGTGCTCGTGGCCGCGTCGCCTTGGTTCACGCGCTCCAGCCTCCACCAAATGCTGCAAACGGCCTCAAACAATGCAGATGAGTGTGCGACGCCTTATCAACAAACTTTTCTACGCTAGGAGAACGCTTGGACGAGATGAGCGTCCCGCAACTATCGCCTTGAGGTCCCGCGAAGCGACCTCTCTCAGTCGTCGTATGTAGTGTGTTGTACTAGTACATGGCTTGGAGCCATAGCTGGGCACCATAAAACGAGAGAACGGTCGTTCAGGGAATCAGCGCGCCGGCTGTTGTCGTTGGTCGGAACATGCGCACACAAGCCTTCGTTATGCTGTTCGAACGCGCCAACGAACCAACGAACCGCCGCAAAAAGGGTGGCAGTTCAGTGGTCGGCGCGCCGTCTGTTGTGAGTTGCTCTGGGCTTCTGGCCCACGGATCGATCCCTGCACGCCCCCGTTTTGGGTCATCCAAAACCGCTGGACCAAGTCCGCGGACGAGCCTCCACACTCCACACGGGGCAGCCGGGCGTCGGAGCGGGGGGGGCAGGGGGCGACGAAGACCCCACCCCAGATGTACGGATGCCGGGCGGCGTCGAAAAGCCAATCGCAGCGCAGCGCGATCGATCCCATATACCTGATTCGAGTGATGATGTGACCCGCTATGGAAGGCTTGCGACGCCCGCGGCCGCGACATTGTGTGCAGCGTGACCAATCAGCGGTAAGACCACGTTGTCATGGACGATATTCGCGCAGATGCGTGGACCGTCACGTCGTTGCTCGTCGTCGGCAAGTATCTCGGCCGCATACACGCCATTCCTACACTAGACCAACGGGTGACGTGACCGAAACTCGACCAGACCAGCAAACCTACGCAACACAGTCAGCCATGCTGCACGCAGCCGTCGTAGATACACGATACCTGTCGACTCGAACGTACCAGGACCGTACGAGGGACCGAGATCACGTATCATTGGTGGCCGCCTCTATACTAGGACGTAGTCACAGCGCCAGGAGGAGACGACTGCGCGCGCTTTGGCTCAGTACGACCCAGAACCAAGCAGCACTACGTACAGCTACGCTTCAAACCCAGTGCGCCAAGCCTCTCGGTCGCGGCAGAAGACGACGTCGGGTTGGCCTCCTGGGACGCCAGGTGTGCACCACTGGTGCTGCGAGTATGGCTCTAAGGAGGCCACGTGTGCATGGGAAGGGTCGCAACCACAGTGACTTCGCACTCTAGCGGGTCGATACTCGAAACAAGAGCAGCGCCTACTGACTGCAAAGGCACTCTCAATGGTGGACAATGGTTCTCACACTAAATACCTCGACGATTCTCATGCCGGGGCCAACGCCATACAATTCCCAAGTCCAAAAAGCAGCGATTCATCATATCGTCATTTGTATACGAGTAAGACTAATTCTCGGCTTCGATGGTCGCCGTCGTCGGTTCAGCGCCCGTGCGCGTAGCATCAATGCCGACGACGCGACCAATCATTGCGACATGGCGTCATCGAGCCGCCTCAAGTCGCATAAGTCGCGCTTGGACCATCCCAGGCTCAACTCGGATCCTTCGTAAAGCACCCTTTTCCAAGGCGCACGCACCTGCACGCGCGTTCGATACCGAGTCGTGTGGGACGACGCCACAGAAACACGGGCGGGCGGGACTGGGCGAACCAGCATTAGGGTTGGTGGATATTAATTTTATTAATTTTCGTATATTTCCGTAGTTTTGAAATGCAGCCCCAGCGCCCACGTCGCGTGTCCGCCGAGTGGATACCGTACGACGCAAGCGACGAGCAGGGCCCACCGTCGGGCATACAAGCGCAAGGTATCGCGGGCATGGCCCGCGACGGCGCGACGGGCGAGCCGACGCCGTGGCTGCGCGCGTTCATCGAAGAGGACGAGCACTCGCGGCTCGAAATTAAAAAAGAGCGGCACCGCCGCGACAGCTCACGGTACCGCGAGCGCAAGATCGTCGAGCTCGAAGCGCTTCGGCAAGAGGTGTCCGAGCTCGAAGAGAAGGTCGACTCGCTACAGGAAGCGCGCCAAGCGCTGCGGGCGACCAACACGGGCCAGTACAAGGCGCGCGCGACGCAGGAAAAACTGCAGCTCGGCAAAGCCACCGACGAGCGCGCAGTGCTCGGCCATACGATCGAGCAGCAGAAGAACCTCATCGACTACTACACCAAGCGGCTCGCCGAGACCGCGGGTGACGCATGACCGCGTCGTATATTATTTCCATGTTTGCACAGTATTAAAATAATTCGTGTCGCTGCTTTTTTATTAATTAAAATGCTACCGTTTCCCGACATACGACCAATCGACTGGCCATTAAGTCCGAGCTTGACACTAATTGCTTGTCAAATGGACGTTCTTGCCACACCCCGGTCGCCCAGCTGGCCAGTCGAGCTCGCCGACGCCTCGTGGGCATGCCGACGCCACATACTCCGAGTACAGTAGACAAAGGCGGTGCATCGTCGCGCGCGGCGAACATGACCAGCTCCACCGGCAAGAATGGCGCTATTTTGAAAGCGCCACGCACGACCAAGGCGCTATGGACCCGCGCCGGAGCGGCCAATGTGGCCAATGCGAGCGACCGCCAAGTCTCACTGCTTACATTGCCCGTCCTCGTCGTTTTTCGCAGCTTCAACAATGGCCGCGGCCCTTGTCTATGTGCTCATTCTCGTATGTGGGAAGCTCGTAGTAGTACATTGATGGCGTCGCATGCGTGCGTTGCATGGACCTCGAGACGACCGCTGCTGCGTGTGGCTTCTGGCATCGTCGTTGGCGCATCGAGTTGGCAATCATTCTGGTGTGTCATCGGCGTGTTGATGTGAGCGCAAATGACGTGTGCACACTATTTATGGTCGGACCAGGATATCCCGTAAAGTGCGCTTGTCGCACTTGAGAGGTGTCGCCGGACTCCGAACTTAATTTTTAGAGCACCGGGCAAAACCCCATGAACCTGGCCTCGCTCCTGAGCCACGACGACGACGGCCGCCAGTACGACGACGAGTCGGACGACGGCGAGGTCAGGGCCACGACGACGGCGCACCATGGCGGCCATGGCGAGGCCAACGACGAAGGCGACACGCCGTCGCCCACGACCACCGCGTCGTCGTCGTCGCCGATCGACTACTTTCGCCCGAGCGCCGCGCATACGATCGACGAGAAGAAGAACCGCCATCGCCTCAGCAACATGCGCCACCGCAAGCGCAAGAACATGGAAATCGACGGCTTGCGGCGGCGCGCGCGCGACCTCGAGGTCAAGCGCGACCAGCTCCAAGCGGCGTCGACGTCGATTGCGGCGTCGGAAGGGCCATGGGAAGAGCTCTGCGAGATTGAGCGCGGCAAGCTCGCGCTCGCCCGCGAAGAGCAAACCGTGCTCTCACGCTCGGTCGCGCGCCATGAAGTGATCATTCAAAAATTCTACACCAACAAATACCCGGGCCAAGGCGACGATGGCGAGCAGCAGCAGCAGCAGCACGAAGATGACGAAGAAGAAGAGTAGGGGAGGACCGCGTCTGCTATTTATTCTGTAGACGAAAGATTAAGAGGTTGCCTACATGTATGTACTTGCATGGATTGGACGACTACTCTCAAATGGACGCAAAAGGCGAGTCGAGAGGCGAAGCGACTCGAGCCTTCGACTAGTGCGGCGCCGACTAGGACTACCGACCGAGGTACGTATACTGAGCTAGTACCGCGAGAGGCTCGAGGCCGACGACAAGCGGTGGCCCTTGAAGGTGGCCAACTGACGTAAACGCGGTCCCGTCATCATCGAAGCCTCACGCAATCGCGTACCAACTGGCGACCTTGGAAAATGCCGACTTTGAGGTTCGAAAAAGATCGGATCACATCAACAAGTTGTCGAGCACCCAAGTGCGACCTTGCTCGATACAGCAATGCGCGCACTGCGCTCGCATCGACAAGGGGTTGGTCGCCACGCGCCTCGAGAGGCCGCGCGAGTAATGAATGACGCACCCATGGATACGAGGATGGGCAGGTGAGCACGTAAGCAGTGGCGCTTGCGCCAAGGACCAAGCTATCGGAAACAGCTTGCTACACCGCGTGACTCGCACGCAAAACGCTCGCGCGCTGGACCACGAGCGGCGTAATGAGCCCCGAGCCACAGCATACCAAGCATCGCTTGACGAGCAACGACGCATCGGGATGACTCAGGAGCTTGCGACGCGGTTGAGCATCGATACCATAAACACTCGTCAACGACCTGCGGGTGTTTGTGTGATCCTACATCGTGGCACGCGGAGCGCCTCGTTGAAGTTGCTGTTGCGGTCTGCCAGCACATGAGCTTGGCGCGATGCCACGGGGCTGAGGGAGCAGCGTCGTCGACTGCCATGAGCGGTGGTCGCTATGGACACGATCCGGACGTCGCGTCTGCCGCGACTCGCATGAGTACTCTGCTTGATCAAACGAACGAGAGCCGCATGACGGACGCACCGTTGCTGGTGTCACTGTCAGGCCGACGCAGGCTACCGTGTTGGTGCCATCCTACACCTAGGTTGCATAGCCCGAGTTGTCGAGTGGGGGGTTAGCGATCGAAAATGGCAGCGCCAGTCCACTACCCATACTATCGGCATGATGGTTGCTGGCTTTTCGCTCCAATCACTCCTAGGGCTTTCGACATCTTTTCCGTCATTTGAAGTTTCATGAAGGATTCCTCAACTGTCGTAACCCTTGGACCCACCGACCGACTTGCGTAGCGATCGTCGCGCATGACAAGCGAAACGGCGTTGCAAAAATCACGTGTTCCAAAACGCGCGTCCTCGGTGGCCACGCTCCAAAGCCTCGATTCGAACACGGATATGATAGCGCGCAAGTACGATGCGATCGCGCCCGAGATTCGGCAGTACCTGCGCGCGACGCTCACGCCTCTGATCTCCATATTTGCCCACGCGATGCACATGCGCCGCCTCCGCGCCTTTCTTTGCTGGCGCATGCATACGACCAAAGCCGCCGTGTGCGCTGCTCAGACACTCGTCGTCGATCGCCTTCGGTACGTTCGTCTGTCCTATCAACATCCACGTCACGTCGCATGGCAGCCTCGTCGCGCGCGGGCTTGTTCGCGCGCGCCAGGCCGAGCAAATCACCGCGCGCCTCTCTCGCGTCCTCATACGGTCGAGGATGAAGCAGCTTTTGCATGGCTTTTTGCACTGGAAGGTCGTCGTGACGCAGTATGCTCAGATCGCGTCATATGCGCCCGAGTACATGCACTGGATCGCGCAGCACCCGAGTACGTTCGGACGTGATTGTGGACAACGATGGAGGCTTCGTGCTTGTAGCGCACTTGCCGTTGCTCCAAGTGCGTGATGCGCTACTTCAGTGCAAGGCGACGCTGCTACTCCGTGGTAGCTAAAATGCCGAGGGATTCCTAGGAGGTCGATAACCCTTGGATGTCATTGTAGCGGTCGCTCGGTGTCGCCCGTGCCGCCACGCGTGGCACATATGGAAGCGAGTACATGCTCTTTCTCATGTTTCGGTTCTACACCACAGACTAGGTAACTTGGAGCTGGCCCGTAATGGCGCAGTGTCTCCAGCGCCTCCATCTCGCGTTCCTCTTGCACGTACGTTTGTTCAGAGGATCGAGCGACTCGACGGAATAGCGTAGCGATGGCGGACGTATGCGCAGGCAAAACACACGTGGCAGCTTGTCACAAGCACGACGTGTGCGCGGCTGCGCGTACGCAGTGCTCTTTGAAACGGATATGACGTGGCGCTCTGTAGACGCACCGCGTGCGCGTCGCTGTCCAGCGCTGGCGCTACGAGACCGCAGACCGTCAGCACGCGCGTACACTGCGCGTCGTCACACGTCTCGGTAGAGGACTGCACTCTCTATTGGCATGTTGCAACCATAGACAATATAGCGCACAAGCGGGTTGTGATGTCGCAGGTCTTTGCGCGGGTATGCCCGATGTGTGGTAGCGGTGTAAGGACTTGGGTGTGTCGTAGTGGCAGGCGACCGGTGGTCGTTGGCACCACGAGCGAGCGCGGGTGCGGACCCTTGTATCGTACCTGCACCGCGCACGGCAGTCGAAACTCGAAGTGGCATGGACTCGCTGGTCGACCGCGCTGTGGAGGCGCCAGGTACACGTGCAAGACTGGATCATATCGTACCTTGCACCGCTCTAGCGCATTGAGCAGCGACTGCAGCGCATTCTCCGTCGGCGAGCGCATCGCTACCTCGACCGAGCAGTTCTCGCTCTGCGCCTTCATGTACTGCACGACACGTCGACTGCAGAACGTTCTCGAGCTTACTTTTGCATCGTAGAGTATCACGCAACTGCACTGCATCGAGGCACGGCACTCGCAGCAGCAGTGGCGCTCTGGCACGACCGCGGCGATGTGTCTTCGGTACACAATCATGCCTCGACAGCTGCTAATATCGACGCCTAGTTTGTGGCGCCAGCGTCAGCGCCACCGCTTGATTCGCGGCTTTATCACGTGGCAGCACCACAATGCACTCGCGCGTCACGCCGAGTTGTCGATGCGACGCCAACGCCTTCGCGCGCACTGGCGACGATGGCAAGCGCAGCACCACCTCTCATTGGAGTTGCATCGTCGAGCGCACACTGCAAGGCAGCGACTGCAGTGGCGCCACGTATAGAGTCCAAACCCGCCAAATCGGCTGTGAAACGGGCGAGCATTAGGTGGCAGCGGGGTTTCAACGCTGGCGACGTCGCGTGCTGGCGGCGCAGGCGCTGCGGTCCACGGCGTTTGCGACCTGGAAGAGTCGCTTGAAGATGCTGAGAGCCCATCGAACCCGGGCGTATCGCTGCCTCCAGCGCCTCCATGTACGCCTTTGGTGGCAGCAGTGGCGCGGTTCGTAACCCTAACCTTTCCTAACCTCATCTCGCATGGGCGCTAGGGGCACACTACCGCCAGAGGTGCGCGTACCTCGCAGCACTGGGAGCTCCGATGCGCTGTGCTCTCGATGTTGCAAGTGCGAAGCTCCTCGCGCAGACCCTGTGCTTTTCGTCATGGAAGCTACGCGCGATGACGGCCAAGTCTTTTCTACTGGTACTACGAGCATACTGCGAGGGTCGACTTGATCTACTCACGTAGTCAACAACGAATACCAGGCTTTGCAAAGAAAGGACCAAGCAAACGCGCGCGACGTGCTTTCTACAGTGCGCAACGTAAGAGAGGAGAAGTGCTCCATGAGCGTCGATAGGTGGAAGAGCATCGTGACGTCGACCACGCTGCAGCGACAACGTACGAGCGAGGACGCTATAACATAGCTAGTAGTTATGAGCGTAGGTGGCTCCTTCAAGGCCCTTGCGCAGGGACTGTCGGCGCAGCTCGAACAATCAACGCTCCGGCACTTCGTGCATCGTCTTGTCGCGGTAGCTACTACACCAGCAAAACGACAATAATGTCATGCGTGCACTGTAGCGCTGGCGCGGTTGGGCAGCGACACGAGGTCGCCACCGACGGCTCTTGCACCGCGTGCGGCGGCAACGACGGACGCGCCGGCTCGAGCGGTGCGTCACCTCGCTTGTACATTGTCCCAACATCCTTGTAGGGTAATGGCCATCTGGCGACAGCATGTGCGGCGACGTGCACGCTTGGCGACACTGCGACAGTCGCGAGCACGCATGTTGTCGTATGTACTTGATCAGATGCACCACAGATGATGCAACGTGTCGTAGCGAGTTTGGGTTTCGGCGATGGACAGCGCTGGTGACGTGGCGGCGTCGCCTGCGTCAGCTCCGTGCGCGCTGGCAACGCGGGTGCCGACGTCAGTGCGTGCGCCGACTCTTTGATGCGTGGCGACGCATTTTTGTGGACCATCGACAGACCTGTCGCCGGGCGGTGGCACAGTGTGCGCACAAGGCAGCGTTCGCGGTATCCTACTAACGATAGAGTTGCGTTACTACCGTTGATCCGCTGGCAGATGCGTCGGGCCGCGTGGGGCCAATGGCGGTGCGCACAGCTATGCCTCTGTGACCACGAGGCGGTACTACGATCACCACTTGCTCGCACCGACGACCTTATGATTGTCTTGTGTGGTGTAGACACTACGTCGCACACTGGTTCGAGTCTGGACGAAATGGCACCAGTATGTGCTGCGCGCGCGGCAGATGCAAAGGCAGCTGCGCCGGTGCCTACGAGGTGCCGTCGCTGGCGCTGCGACGGTAGCCGTCACTGTCGATGTAGGCGCGCTACAAGCCGCGTATCGCTGTGCGTGGCAGACGTGGCAGATACACACGGCCGTCTCGCGGCATCTCGCACGGACCGCAAAGCCAGTGGCCGAGGCGGCTGCGATTGTGACTACGGTGGAGCTATCGACGCCACTTGAATGTGAACGGAGCGACTGCGCGACGCACACGGACGTGTACGAGACAGAGAGCGCCGTGGCGCTGAAGGAGCTTCAAGCCGCCCATGCAGCGCTCTTGACGGTCTATGAGCAGCGCCAGCAAGACGCCGGTGAGTATCTGAGGGAGCGCGCGGTATGGCGCCGCCAACTCGATGACGTCTTAAGCGAGAAGACGCAATTGATCCGAGTCCTCGACGAGTGCAAGGCACGACTCGTGACGGCCAAGCATCTCGCCCACGACAACCGCGTTGGCCCTTGCACCAAGTCTTAGCCTCTCAGACCGGGTGATGTAGGCGCTGCGGGCTCTTGTCGCCGACTCAAGCGCCCAGCGACAGCAGATCGCGCAGCTCACAGGTACCTCACTTGCTTAGCGGCCGAGAACGTCGTAACTGGATAGGACGATGCGCCCTTGGCGAACGTATGCTCCAGCGACTCGAACTCGAACTCACCAACGAACGGTCCGAGCGCGCTCGCGAACTGGATGCGCACCATGCACACACAACCGAGCTCACGTTGCAACTGGCCACGGTATGTAGCGCGCTGCAGCTCGTGTCGATGCGCACGCGTGTAGGTGCGCGAACACTGCACGCACCTTGAAGACATGGAACGGTATACCTGTGTTGCAATGTTGTCGTATCTACCTCTGGACCGTAGCTACAACATCAAGCTCCAACACAAGCTCGCGCTGCAGGAAGACCGCTGGCAGCGCGCCAAGCTCGCGAGCTTTGAAGCGACGTTGCAGCGCATGGACGCGACGACCAAACCCGAGCCCTAAGCTCCCCTACCCTCCTTCGACAAAAATCGGCAAAATTACCAAACTATATGCATACTATCTTTGTCCAGTGGTATCAATCGCTCCAAAAAACTGCTCTCGCTACGAATCTGGATCACGGGCTATCCTCTCCGTCGCCATGTCGACTCAGACATATCACATTGCGTTTGCAGGTTATAGAAAGGACTAGACGATCGTAAACTCGGCGTATTCGAGCTGTGCGAGCGCGCAGAGACCCTCTCGCATCAAGTCTTTGGTCGGGTACAGCGGCAGGTCGATGCGGTTGAAGCACGCGTGGGCCCGCGGGTAGACACCGCGCGTGTAGCGAATCGCTTCAACAGTGAACGGGCAGAGTCGACCGTCAAAGCTCGTGAGACCTGGAAACCCCTGGATCGGCACGCGGGACGAGCCGGTCGTAAACTGCAGCAAGTGCCGTCGCTGCGTCGGCGTCATCTCGCGCACGAGGGCCCAGAACCACTGCGCAGTCTCCGTCGCCGCGTGCGCCAGAGCCATCTTGGTGCAGCGCTCCCACTCGCTCACGTCAATGTCGGCCGCAGTCCCGAACAGTAAGAGGCCGAGCTCTTGGTAGTCAAACGACAAAAGCACGTCGGGTGGCATGACCTACCCTCGAACAACTCGTCAGACAACCAAAGTAACGACAGGAAGGACAACCTCGTTGAACCCGCGCAGGAGCGACGCAAGCGGCTGCGCGATCCGGTCAAACAAGAGGTATTGGACCATACAGTCCACATACGCCGATCGATTCGCAAGTGTCACGGGCATGTCGTGGCCGTTCTGGACCAAAGCCACGAGGTCCTTATCAGTGCCCGTCGAGACAGTAAAGTCCAAGCAGAGGTCGTCGACCGAGGACGCGGTCGCAACGTAGTGCAAACTGGAGGCGGTGACAGGATCGAGAAAGGCAATGTCGGCGACCGAGAGCGGCGCGCCGACCAGTGCTTTTAACAGCGGCACACAGAGCGGCTGCGGCAGCACTTGGCCTTCCAGGAGTGCCCGCGCAAGCAGCCGGCCCACAGCGCGAAAGGCAGACAAGTTGGCCGCGTCGAGGCTCGTCGTCGGGTCAATCATGTATGCCCCGTCGTCTTTGTGGTTGATGCAAAAGAGACCGCGCGACGGCGCCAAGATGGCCGCGAGTACGAGGCTGTACCACTCGCGCTGGAGGCCACCGGCGTCGACGCCACTCTCGCCAAGCATTGTGATGCTGGTCGTCGAGCAGAGAGAGGCATGTGGGATCTGCAAGAGCATATCTATCGACTCGAACGCGAGGTCTCGGTACACGTTGAGCTTTGTCGCGGGTCGCGACGTGTGGCTGAGCACAGTGCATAACGCAGCGACCTTGGTGGTAAAGGATGCGTCCTGAAGCGCGAGGAGGTGGCGCCACTGCCACAACGCAAGCGTCTCGCCAAACGCGGGGGCGACGTCGGGCGACAGAGACGCCAGCGGCGTCCACGCCACCGTGGCAGCTAATGCGTCGTAGGTAATCACGTACTGGCCATGCATGGACTCGGACGAGGACCACTGCAGCACACCGGCCGGCGACAGAGTGCGCGCCCACTGTTTGCGGCGCCTACCATCGAGTCGTCAGAGGTATGGATCGCGACCAGCGTACATGGCACTCTGCTGCCGGAGACTCAAGGCAGCGGTCGGTACAGTGTCTTTGGTGGCGTCGCAGAGGACGCAGTGCATTGTGCGAAGCTGGTTTTCGAAGGCGCAGATCGGACACGCCCAGCGCACGGCGTTGCTACAGCCAGGATAAGGAAAGGGATGCTGGCATGCAGGACCCACGGATCATCGAGGTTCTGGCGCTCGAGGCCGTCTGCAAAGTTACCTAAAAAGCTATGGGCGAAGTGAGAGAAGCGATGATACTGGGGACATCGAGGTACTCTTGTTCGAGAAGCGCGGCTTGAGTCGGGAGGCAGCAGCAGTGGCGCAAGATGCACCACGCCACGTACAGGCACGCCAGCCCCAGCGCCACTTGCAGCACGAGTGCGATCGGCATCTTGCCGTCGTCGTAGCTCATGGTCGCTGCTTGGAAATGCAATTGTGATTTACCAAAGGCTCGGGACAGGTCCGTTGGACACTGGTATCTCGTCTCTGCACGGGAATGCGCCACGTCGGGTTATCCGGATGGGTCAAATAATGGCTGGTTTTCGGAAAGGACATCGGATTTGTATGTAAGTCTTGCCAAGTGATAGGCCGAGTATACAAACCACCAGCTTAAAATCAGCCATAAACTGACCCGGTACGCCCGGCTCGGCGAGGGGCGTGGCACATGCCGAATATAAATACATCCGATTCGGCAGATATGGCATGTGCCGACGACCACAGCTTCAACGTGCGACTCGGCGAACCCGCCGGGTTGTGAGCCGTAGCATCTCGCGTGCGGTCTACGGACGAGAGAGGTCTCTCTTTTGCACCGTATATCGCAGGAGAGAATAGCAGTACTTTTCAGGTCGCAGCCGCCGAGGTATCGGGCGCAGATTGTTGGGTGCTCGATTTAAATCTGGCATGTGCCACATGCCATATGCCACTTTGAACCGGACGGAGTTGCCACAAGCAAGAAGAAGTCCGTGAGCATGCTCAAGCACAAGCTCAAGGATCGGGACGTCGACGCCGTGGCCGCGATCTTGACGCGGCTCCAGGCCAAGGAGGCGACCGTGCGCGAGACAGCGGCCCTTGACCTGCGCGCGGCCGTGGCCACGCTCTCTCGCGAGCTCACGTCCGAGACGTTTGCGCGGTTCCTCTCCGAGCTAACGCCCCGTCTCCAGAGCCTCCTCCAGAGCCCTGCGCTTGGCGACCAGCTCGGTGGTATTGCGGCCGTCGAAGCGCTCATTCCCGTCGCGACCGAGGCGCAGATCATCCGGTTCGCCAACTACCTCCGGTCGTTCTTTGTCACGTGCGAGTCCAAGGACGGGCTCCGCGCCGCAAGCCTCGCACTCGGGAAGCTGGCGTCGACGACCGAGATGGGCATCAGCGGCACGCTCGTCGCGGCCTTTGTCGATTTCGAGGTCAAGCGCGCGTTCGAGTGGCTCACGAACCCGTGCTTTAACAGCAGCCAGAGCCACCGCCGGCTCGCAGCCTGCTTTGTCCTCAAGGCGCTCGCGGTCGCGGTGCCCACGCTCTTCCACGTCAACCTCTCGACCTTCTTTGTCGCGATCTGGCCCGCGATCCGCGATGCCCGTGTCGACGTCCGCGACGCGGCCACGGTGCGCTTGCATCCTTTGCGATCGATGGCTCATAGAAGCATGTAGGATGCGCTCGCTGCGTGCCTCCAGCTCATCTCGATGCGTCAGACGCGTCATCGCGTCCAGTGGTACTGCAAAATCTACGACCAAGTCCAGGAAGGCCTCAACGTCGCGTCGCGCACCGGTCCATTTCGCTCTTCCGAATCCGAATCTGAATCTGAACGTAGGTACGTCGGTGCAGATTCTGCCGACCAAGACGCCCGCATGGGATGCGATTCACGGATCGCTGCTCGTGGTCATGCAGCTGCTTCAAAACACGGGCAGCTTCATGGTGCCCCGGTTCCGCGAGGTGCGTTTTCATTGTTTGCCTCTGCACGATGGACAATATTGTCATGTAGGTGTGCGACATTGTCTTGTGCTACAAAGACTCGCGCGACAAACTCGTCGCGCGGTCTGTGTGCCTCCTCTTGCCGCAGCTCGCCGCGTACTGCCCCGGTATCAACCCTACCCCTCTGGTGTGTGTATCAACGTATCGAGTAGATGCGTTCGTGCGGCACTATCTAAGCACGTGCGTGACGCACCTCATGAAGCGCATGACCACGTACGTCTCGGCGGCCGAGCGCGGCGTCGCCTTCCTCGCTCTTGGCCATCTCGCGCTGTCGGTCGGCGGTACGACCCCGCTGCCTTGTTCATATTTTCTCGATTTTTTTCACATTTATTCATATTATTCATGTTCCGAGTGTAGACCACTTGGTGCCGCAGCTTCCGAGCATTGTCGAGCTCCTCCAGGACGGCATGAAGCGCAACCGGTACTTCTGCATCGAGACGCTCATGTGCGTGGCCCACTTTACGCGGGCGTGCGGCACTGCGTTCGAGCCGTACCTGCCGTCGCTCGTCGAGCAAATGATGGACGGCGGGCTCAACGACCCGCTCGTCGAAGCGCTCGCCGATATCACCAAGACAGTGCCCCTCCTCTTGACCGGCGTCCAAGAGCGGCTCCTCAACGAAATCTCGCTCGTGTTGCGCGGTATCGCTGCCGTATCTCGAAGCACGTTGGACGAGGTCTCTGTAGGGGTGGCCTTTGCGCCGTCGCTCGACGAGAAGCCTCTCAAAGCGCGCAAATCCGGACGACGTGACGAGGTCGCGTCATCGTATCCGGCGTCGTCCGCCGCTCTCTCGCTCTCGCTCAAGACGCTGAGCTGGTTCAACTTTGAAGGCCCATTTTCGATTCTGCCGTTCGTGCGCGACAGCGTCTGCTTGTACCTGACGCACCACGACATGACGGTCCGGAAGCAAGGTACGGACAACATGACAGCGAGAAGAAACACGAGCCAATGCCATGTAGCTGTCGTGGCGTGTGCCAAGCTGCTCTTGCCGACGGCTGTGCCCAAACGCGGCCCGAGTGGCCGCGTGATTGATGAGATCTTGCAGCAGCTGCTCCAAGTACGCACACAGCGTCGTCCAACGTGCTTGATGCCTGTAGGTGGGCATCTCGGACGTCGACTCGAACGTCCGGAAGAGCGTAGTCGAGTCGCTCGACGCGCGCTTTGACGAGTGGCTGAGCCAAGAAACGCACTTGACGCTGCTCTTCTTCCTTCTCAACGACGGTACGTCGAGAATCTGGTTGCTACGACGTACAACGTATGGAGACTAGAGACCCCAAGCATCCGAGAAGGCACCATGTGTCTGCTGGAGCGCGTTGCGCCGCTCAACCCAGCGTTCATCCTGCCGTTGCTGCGCCGCGTGTTGGTCCAAGTACGGCTACCCTTTGATGTCGAGAACGATATCAGCGCGATCGTGTAGCTGCTCACGGAGCTCGAGCATGCGGTGGATCTGCGTATGTTGGAAGACAGCACGCGCCTCCTCGGGCGCCTCATCCGCGGCTCGCAGCATCTCATCGAGCCGTACCTTGGCCGTGTCCTCCAGGTTGGGCGTATGCGGTTTGTATCAATGTATCAACGTCTGGATGTAGGTGCTTTTGCCCAAGATCCAGCATGGCAATGCGATGCAGCAGAACCTGGCGAGCGCGGTCTTGACCACGATTGGCGAGCTCGCACTCGCCGTGCACGTATGCCCTGCTTCACTGTCGTCCCACGACGTATCTCGCTATCTGTAGGAGCCCATGGCGGCGTACGAGCCGGCTCTCTTGCCGCTCATTCTCGACGCGCTTCAAGACCACGGGTCGATCCAGAAGCGCCAAGTCGCCCTCGTGACACTCGGCCAGCTGGTAACAATACGCTACGTATCGTGTTGATGGCACTGTGTGCGTAGACGGGCAGCACGGGCTCGGTCGTGCAGCCGTACATTAGCTACCCCAAGATCCTCGAGGTGCTCTTGGACTTGCTGCAGCACACGGCAGCGACGCCGTGGCAACTGCGCCGCGAAGCCATGAAGACGATTGGCATTCTGGGTCTCTTTCCATATGCTTGTGACGCGTTGTCTGATGGCCAAGGTGATAGGCGCGCTGGATCCGTACAAGTACAAGCTGTGCATCTCGAGTGCGTCGCTGCACGAAGGCAATGTGGAAGAAGGCGGCGTCGGCCTCGGGTCGCTCTCGATGACGCGCAAGTTCAAGCCCACGTACACGACGACCGACGATGTCGCGTATCCATCGTATCGGCTGCCATAGGGACATGGGCCCGAGCATGGACGAGAAGCAGCAGATCGAGCTCCAGCTGTTCACTGCGGCGCCCGTGGGCACGCGCCGTCCGGAGAAGGCCAAGTACGTGCGCCAACTCGCGACAGTGTATGCACTCGCGCATAGAAAGGTGCTGGGCAAGCGCAGCCTCGTGGCCAAGACGCTCGAAGCCGCGACTGTGCTCCGTACGTCGTTGCGCTTGTTTTGCTCTGACATGCATGGTCGTAGCGCTCGATGGATACTTGGACCAAGAGCTCCTCGATACGCTCGACGTCGACTTGGAGCTGGAGCTCGATCCGCGCGCCGTTGCCGTGTCGTCGGAAGCGTACTTTCCGACGGTCGCGATCCACGCTCTGCTCAACATTCTCAAGGAGCCGTCGCTCAGCATGCACCACTATGGTATGTCGCTGATTCCTTTGGATTATCTGGATGATCTGGATGATCTGGATGTTGACGTGGTGTGGATACTAGGCGTGATCCAGGCCATCATGTTCATCTTCAAGTCGCTGAGCCTCCAGTGCGTGCCGTTCTTGCCGTACATTGTGCCACCGTTTCTGCATGTGCTCGCCCGCGGTATCGACGCCACGCCGACCGACGAGGTGCCATGGGGCTTGGTGCGATAGGCGAACCCCGGCTGCGCGACTCGCTGTTTCTGCAGCTCACGGTGCTCACCTCGATCGTGCAAGCGCACCTCGGGTCGTTCTTCCCGGCCATCATTGTGCTCGCGCTCCGCCATTGGCGCGCCCACCTGCCGCAGATCGTCCGCCTCGTCGAGGTACATGGCACGGTATGTTTCGCGGTTGACCTTCAAATTTGCAGAAAATCGCGGTCGCGGTGCCCAGTGATTTTCGCACCGTGTATTTTCCTCAGCTGTTGCCCAAGATCCTCGAAGTGCTCCAGCCCCACCCGCACTCGGACCTGCTCTTCTTTAGCGGTAGCTTGCTCTATCTCGTCGATGCATGCGCGTCATGGAGGCATATATAGAAGCGGCCGATGGCGGTGGCACGGCGGCCACCGGCGCGCCGTCGTCGACGTCCGATGGCACCAGCACGGGCGTGACGTCGGTGCCGAGTACGCTGCCGTCGGGCTCGGACGTCGACAGCCTCACGCTCGACAAGAAGGACGGCACCAAACACCTCTCGTGCGCGCACTTCGGTTGTGAGATGGTTGTTGAGATTCACATTCCCATTAGAGTGCTCGCGTCGATTCAGATGCAAATGGTCCACTTGCTCGTTGTGTGCGGCGCGTCGGTCGACGAAGCCGTGTACCTGCTCTTGCCGGCGCTCACGCGGCTCTTAGAACACAGCGACACGGCGCTCGAGGTCGATCGCGTCTTCTGATATCGTATCATGACTCGGGGCGTAGGTCAAGACGAGCATTGTGACGCTGCTCGCGCAGCTCACGCAGCTCGGGGACTATGAGCACTATGCGGGTCCGCGCCTCTTGCTGCCGTTGCAGCGCGCGGTGCGGGCGACACTGCAGTCCCCGTCGGCCGTCTTTCGACCCGATGTAGTGTCTTTCTCTCTCCGTGGTTTTCATGCAAGACTGGGCGTAGATACGTAAATTTGGCGACGCGGTGCTCTACTGCCTCTGCGCGGTCGCCTTCCAGCTCCAGGACGGCCTTGTGCAGTACACGCCGCTCGTCAAGGCGATCGGCCGCGTCCTCGAGACGCAGCTTGAGCTCAACATCGCGCACCTCGAGTCGCTCGTCGCCAAGCTCGTCGCCAACGACCGGATCGTGCGCGACGACCTCGCGCACGCGTCGCTTTTGACGCCCGAGCTGCAAGCGTGGCTGGACGTGAGCCGCGACAGCCGCGCGCCCGTCGTCGTGCCGGCCGCCACGTCGTCGTCGTCGGTGCCGCGTCTGCATGTCAACCAGCAAAACCTCCGGCGGGCTTGGGAGGCGTCGCAGCGGTCGACCAAAGATGGTACGACGATCCTCTCTCAGTGGTGTGTATCGACGGGTTGTGTCAGATTGGCTCGAGTGGATGCGCCGGTTCTCGATCGAACTGCTGCGCGAGTCGCCGTCGGCGGCCTTGCGGTACAGATCGTAGTCGTACGAGGACGTCGAGAGAGAGCGTGGACCGTAGGTCGTGCTGCTCGCTTGCCCAAGCGTACAACCCGCTCGCCCGCGCGCTGTTCAACTCTGCGTTTGTCTCGTGCTGGAACGACCTGCACGAGCAGTACCAAGACTACCTCGTGCGCGCCCTCGAGACGGCCTTTCAGAGTGACACGATCTCGGCCGAGATTCTCCAAACGCTGCTCAACCTCGCCGAGTTTATGGAGCACGACGTCGAGGCGCTGCCGATCGGTCGGACCCTACCCCTTGCTTGCGGTTTGTCGATACGATGTTGGAGTAGATATTCGCGAACTTGGCGAGCTCGCGCAAAAGTGCCATGCGTACGCCAAGGTACACACTATTGTCTATTGAATATGTACCAAGACGAGCGCGTAGGCCCTGCACTACAAGGAACTCGAGTTTCACACGTCGCCAAGCACGTGCATTGAAGCGCTCATCTCGATCAACAACCAAGTCGGCCAGCCCGAGGCCGCAGTGGGCATCCTCAAGTATGCGCAGCTGCACCACCGCAGCGTCATCCAAGTCAAAGAGTCGTGGTACGAGAAGCTCCAGAACTGGCAAGGCGCACTCGATCTGTACGATGCCAAGCTCGCCGAGCCGACGACCTCGGTAGGAGTTTTGCGTTGGGTTTGATTGGAGTGTTGACATAGGACCTGGTAGGGGGCACTCGACCTTGAAGCGGCAACGGGCAAGATGCGGTGCCTCGAAGCCTTGGGCGAGTGGGAGGAACTCGCGGCCTTGGCCAAGCATGTCTGGGCGTCGCTTCGCCCGTCGACCGACGCGCCGACGTCATTGGTACACTCGACCAATCGTACAACCGGACTCACGTCTACGAACTGTGTAGGTGTCGTCACGCCCCAAGCCCAAGCGAGCGCCGGCGAGCTCGACAGGTACTTGGCTTGTGATGGCGGCGCTGACAAACCCGTGTGTAGCACCTCTGGAAGATGGCAGCAGCAGCTCGGACGAGTCGCATATGACGACCGTCGCCATGCTCGGGTTGACACTTGATAGATTGAAACACGAGTTGTAACGAGGTGGTAGGGCGCGCGCTTGCTGGTGGCTCTCGGAGTGGGACACGATGGAGCAGTACGTGCAAGGTGTGCAGACCAACCCGACGTTGCTCGCGCCGACCTTGCCGGGGTACGTGGCGCCTTGCGGACACGAGTATCAATCTATCGACTACTGTAGGACGGACCCTGAACTGGGCGCGGTCGCGTCGCTCTACAAGTCGGTGCTGGCCGTGCACCACAACCAGTTTGAGGACGCACAGAGCTGGATCGATGCGACTCGCAAGTCGCTCGATACGACGCTCGGCGCGCTCGTTGGGTCTGCTGCCTCGTGCTCTATCCAGCTTGTTGATGCTTGCATGCTGTAGCGAGTCGTACATTCGAGCGTACCGGACCGTGGTGACGCTGCAGCAACTCTCGGAGCTGGAAGAGATCATCGCGTACAAAAAGCTGCGGCTTCAAGTCGGCAAGGCGGACGAGGCCGCCAAGTACAAGCGGCGCATGGTGAAAATGTGGCAAACGCGCCTCACCGGTATCGCAGTCGATCGATGCGTTGACTCGACAATCTGTGCTACGTAGGGTGCAAGCGGGTCGTCGACGTGTGGCAGCAACTCTTGGCCGTGCGGTCGCTGGTGCTGGCGCCCCACGAAGACATTGAGACGTGGCTTCAGTTTGCGAGTCTCTGCCGGCAGTCGGGCAACCTCGCGCTCTCGCTCAAAGTGTTCACGCACGCGCTGGCCGTGCACACACCGGGCCTTGAACTCGCGTCGAATGCGTCGTCGTTCCGCAACGTAGGACGAATGTCGTGACTTGATAGATTGATATATATGGCCTAGATGGGCTTTTCGAATCTCGGGTACTCGGAGAAGGACCACCACCGCGTCGCCTTTGCCTACCTCAAGCATCTTTGGGCCGTCGGCGACAAGCAAAAGGCGCTCAGTGAGCTCGGGACGCTCGTGCAGACGCTCTCGCGTCGATCGCCCCTCACAGGTAGTCCCGTCTTTCCTCTCTGGATTTGGTTGATACCTTGATATTCTATTGACGCTACGACTAGTCGGGGCGGTCGCGACCAACCAAGACGAGGAGATTGTCAAGTGCCACCTCAAGTGGGCCGAGTGGCAGCTGGCGATCCACGAGCAGCAACTGGACCGCGTGCCGATCGCGGCCGTGCTCGGCGCGCTCAAGACGAGCACGGAGCTCGAGCCCTCAAGCTACAAAGGTACGCCCTCTGGCTACCAAGTGGATGCGAACGTTGGATGCGTAGCGTGGCATGCGTGGGCGCTCATGAACTTTCACGTGGCCGAGTACCACTCGCAGCTCCCGCCGGGCTCCAACCAAGTGGGCGGCAAGAAGGAGGACCTCGGACCGTACATTGCGTCGGCGATCGAAGGGTTCTTCCGGTCGATCGCGCTCGGCCGGTCGCGCTGGGCGGCCAACGTCCAGCAAGACATTCTGCGTGTGCTGACGCTTTGGTTTGCGTACGGCCACCGCTCGGACGTGCACGGCGCGCTTGTCTCTGGCTTCCAGAGCGTGAGCATTGAGACGTGGTTAATTGTGATCCCGCAGCTCATTGCGCGGTGGGTCTATCCAAACGCAATGTATCCAAGTATCCAATGTATCCGATGCGTAGGATCCATTCGCCACACCCGCGTATCCAGAGCCAGCTGCATCGGCTCTTGTCGGCGATTGGGACCCAGCACCCGCACGCGCTCATTTACCCGCTCAGCGTCGCGCTCAAGTCGCCGCTCGAGGTATCGTATCCTACTCTCGGTTTGGATAGGATACGACAAGTGGATACACGGTAGGTCCGGCAACGCGCGGCCGAAGCCATTATGAACTCGATGCGCAAAAACTACGTCGACTTGGTCAACGAAGCGCTCCTCGTATCGCGCGAGCTCATCCGCGTCGCGATTCTGTGGCACGAGCTCTGGCACGAGGGCTTGGAAGAAGCGTCGCGCTTGTACTTTGGCGAGCACGATGTCGAAGGTATTCCATCTCGGTTTATAGTCGTTTGGACTAATATAAGTCGTAGGGATGATGGCGGTGCTCGAGCCGTTGCATGCGATGATGGAGAAGGGCCCCGAGACGCTGCGCGAAGTGAGCTTTCACCAAGCCTTTGGGCGCGACCTCAAGGAAGCGTACGACTGGATCCAGCGCTATTTGAGTCCCCACGGCGCCAAGAACGGTGGGTTTGTTTCAACTTGATACTTTCGACTCATTGGGAGGATGGGTAGAGTCGGATCTGAACCAGGCGTGGGACCGCTACTACCACGTCTTTCGTCGCATCAACAAGCAGCTGCCGCAGCTCACGACGCTCGAACTGCAGTACGTGAGCCCGAATTTGCTCCACGCGCACGAGCTCCAGCTGGCCGTGCCCGGTACCCTGGATAAGCGTTTTCGTATCAAGTTGATATTTGGATTGTAGGCACGTACCGCGCGGGCCATGCGATCGTCAAGATTCGGTCGTTTGTACCGACGATGCTCGTGCTCACGTCCAAGCAGCGTCCGCGGTACGGTCGTTGTGCTTGAAAGATTGAAAGATGACGGTGACGCAGGCGCATCACGATCGTGGGGACGAATGGCCTCGAGTACATGTTTTTGCTCAAGGGCCACGAAGATTTGCGCCAGGACGAGCGCGTCACGCAGCTGTTTGGCCTTGTGAACGCGCTCTTGATCAACGACCGGACGACGTCCAAGAAGGACCTCAAGATCACGCGGTATCCCGTGATTCCGCTGAGCCACAACGCCGGCATTGTCGGTGCGTGGCCCCTTTTTCTCGATAGATTGATACTGATGGCCATCGTAGGCTGGGTGCCCAACTGCGACACGCTGCACCAGCTCATTCGCGACTACCGCGAGGCGCGCAAGATCCTCCTCAACATTGAGCACCGGTATGGGACGCTCATTGTGGACAATAAGACAATGTATGGGTCTAGGCTCATGTTGCAGATGGCACCCGACTATGACGTGCTCTGCTTGCTGCAAAAGGTTGAAGTCTTTCAGTATGCACTGGAAAACACTGCCGGCCAAGACCTCTACAAGGTAGAGTCTCGTAAAATGGGCTATATAACGACTTATCGTGACGTGGTGTAGGTGCTCTGGCTCAAGTCGGAAAACTCGGAGGTGTGGCTCGACCGCCGCACCAACTACACGCGGTCGCTCGCCGCCATGTCGATGGTGACTAGAGGCTTCTTGTACACAGAGAGGACAATATTGTACAACTAGGTGGGCTATATTCTCGGCCTTGGCGACCGGCACCCGTCCAACTTGATGCTGCACCGCTTCACGGGCACGATCGTGCACATTGACTTTGGCGACTGCTTTGAGGTCGCCATGCAGCGCGAAAAGTACCCCGAGAAGATCCCGTTCCGGCTCACACGCATGCTCACCAACGCCATGGAGGTTTTGGATAGTTGGATACTTGGATACTTGGATAATGATGGCATGGGATAGGTGAGCGGCATCGAAGGCAATTTTCGCTTCTCGTGCGAGTCGGTCATGCAAGTGCTCCGCGACAACCGCCACTCGCTCATGGCGATGCTCGAGGCCTTTGTCCACGACCCGCTCATTTGCTGGCGCCTTGTACGTTTTGTATCAAGTTGGTATCAAGTTGGCGACCATATGGACTTGCGTAGCTCGCCCCCAACGTGTCGCCGGCCACGAAAGAGAAGCTCGCCGAGTTTGAACCGCCCAAGTCGGTCAAGAAGCCCGCGCCCGTGGTCGCGCCGCCTGTCCTGCCGCCGGTGCCCACGCCCGAGCCCGTCGTCCTCGCGCCGCCACCCGTCGTCCTCGCGCCTGTGCCCGAAGGTACTTCTACTAGAATCACCGGCGCCCTGATCACTATCCTGTCTCGATCTAGCCACCATTCCCGCGGTCGTGGAGCCACCGCCGGCACCGATGACGACGACCAACTCGATGGCGACACCAGCAATGACGGCCGTGGACGCCGACGTCCCGCCCCGTCCGCCGCAGCACCCGGCCGTGGTCTCGCAAAGCTTGAGCAAGTCGATTGCATTCAAGCGGGTACCCACGCGTTGCGGTTGCCGTATCGACTTGATATTTTGATGTAGAACGTCATGCCCAACGTTGAGTCGCATCAGCTGCACCAGCCGGAGCGCCGACCGTCGTTTTCGGGTCGGCCGCCGATGCACGAGAGCGGGAACAACCCGAACTTGCATCTGGAGATCTCGAGCTTGGCCGCGAGCGTCGGCTTTAGCTTGAGTCGCAGCTTGCGCGTGAATGAGCACGTGCCCCTTGACGACCAAGCGACGGCGAAAGCTGCGCCGGTCTCGGCGTCGCAAGCGTAGTCTTCTAGAGTCGCAAGGATACATGTCTCTGATGCTCTTGTGGTAGGGACCATGAGCTGCGCAACCGCAGCCACCGGGAGAAGGAGCTCGTGCACGCACTGGGCCCGGAAGGCGCCGGCGCGCCCCGCGAGGCGCTCAACGAGAAGGCGGTCGCCGTCATTCGACGCGTGCAGGCCAAGCTCACGGGCCGCGACTTTGACGACTGCCGCGAACCGCTCAGCGTCTCGGATCAAGTGCAGCGTCTGATCACGCAGGCCGCGTCGCACGAGAACCTCTGCCAGTGCTACATTGGCTGGTGCCCCTTTTGGTAGTTGCCGGAACAATGTACATATTGTCTATGACACGTTGGCGATCTCGCGACAGATGGCAGTACGGAACCTTGGTTGCTACGTGCTCGTACCACTGTATCCGACTACCGAGTTGTTGCATGAAGGACATATATAAAGAGCTGGGAACAAACATGGAGAGCTGGCAGCGAAGAGCTGCAGCGTCACCGTTGCCAAGCCAAGCAGCAGTCAAAGCGCGGAAGCCGTCGTCGTGCCATTTTGTCACTCTGGCGTACGACCCGGCCAAATATGGTAATCAGCATCAGCCGTGGCGGCCCCTACTACTGTAGTACTAGTACCTATCAGCGATTCCTACGACGAGCTGTCGGCTGACGATCTGCTGCAAGTAGCCAGCCAGTTACTTGATGTACCGTGGGACACTGGTGTCACTACGCAGCTTTGGCGGCAACGTCGACCCGATTCATTTGCATCACCCCATACAAATTGTCTGAATTGCGAGATATCAAAAGACGACGTTTGTCAGGACATGCATAATAGCGACAGCACTCTAGTGTCGTACCCTTATGACGCAGCACGCGCCAGATCTGAAATTTTGAAATTCGCATCGCGCATCTGATTCCGCAGACTTCGGCGGTCTGGTTCGCCGCACCTGGTTATCCGCGACCAGTTTGCACTTGTAGATTGCACTTTCGATCGTCATGGCTCCGGGCGTCGAGTGGAGTCTTGGTAGCGAGGTGCTGGCCACGCTCACTGGCGTCGGTTTTCTGGCGCTTCTCATTGGCATGGCGTTGTACGCCAAGTCGGAGAAGCGCGAGATAGCGGCACTCGCCCTCCTCCGCAACGAGTATGCACGATCGTCATTTCTTATTGTGGATGTCTTAGTGCGCACTTGGTAGTTTTGTGGGCCAGCTGCGCGGTCGGCACCGCCAGGACGTCGAAGACATGTACGTTATATGCTTTGATAATGGCTGCTCAGGCTGCCACGTATGAGTAGCGACGTCGATGCCAACAAGTGGCTCTGCCACGTGTGCCAGTTCGCCAATGCAACCGACAAGACGACGTGCACGCTCTGCGAGACGGCCCACGGTACGTACATCGAAGCGAAGCCATAGTGTCTAGAACTTTGTAGACGTGGTCTTGAGCATCGGCGCGAGCACCAACATGGCTGTCGCGGTCCTCGCCCACCCGCTCGACTCGAAACAGCAAAGTGCACGGTACGAGATGTCGTCTCGATACCTTGATAGAATGCCAAATGGCGTAGCGCACGCAAGCAATGGAGCCGCGTGCTCCAGCCCTCAGATGGCGCTGTTCTCTGGACGTCGGCGCTGGAGCTGCAACCCTCGGACGTATACTACATGCTACAACCTTCCACCCGTCCTGTGGCGCCTCCGTCACCATCGCCCAAAGACGACGTCAAGGAGAGCGATGACGTCAAGGACGGCGATGACGTCAAGGACAATGATGACGTCAAAGACGCTGAGAACGCCGAGGACGAGGCATCGCCGCCGGTGCTGCTCGAAATGACCTACTTGACGCCCGAGAGCGCCGCGCGCACGGTGCTCGGCACGGTGCTGCCGTCGTGGTGGCTCACGCAGCTCGAGTCGCTCCGTCTGCAGTCCTTCTCGGTCAAGTACATTTGGCTCCTCGAACAAATCGCGGCCTCGTACACGGAGAAGGTCAAGGTCAAGGTGTACCGCGACAAGATTCTCACCGAGTCGCTCGACATTCTGCTCGCGCTGCCGACCGACAAGCTCTGTTCATTCACCCGCGTCTCACTCTTTGGCGAGACAGGCGTCGACGCCGGTGGTCTCCAGCGCGAGTGGTACACGCTCCTCACGCACGCGCTCTTCGAACCGTCAACCGGACTCTTCATCGCGGCCAACGAGGCCGAGCGGTCGTTTGGCATCAACCCGCACTCGGCGCGCGACCACGGCGCGACGCACCTGGCGCGGTTTGAGGCGTTTGGCCGGCTGTTGGCGCGCGCGATCCTCGACGGCCAAGTGCTGCAGTGCCACCTCTGCGTCCCGCTCTTCAAGGCGCTGCTTGGCACGCCACTGTCGATGGACGACGTCATGCATTGGGACGCGACGGTCTACGCGAGCATGTGCTACATTCGTGACGCGCGGAGCGTCGACGACTTGGCGCTCGACTTTACGGTCCACGGCGCCGACGACACGATTGTCGAGTTGGTCCCGTTTGGCGCGCAGATTGCCGTCACGAACGAGAACCGCACCGAGTACCTCGAGGCCATGACCAAGTACCTCCTCTTTGATCGCATCCAAGCGCAAGTGTCGGCGCTTTTGCACGGCTTTTACACGGTCTTGCCCGAAGAGCTCTTGCTGCCATTCGACTACAAGGAGCTCGAGCTGCTCCTCTGCGGGACGTCGGCGATCGATGTCGACGACTGGCGCCACTTTACCGCCGTCTCGTTCTCGCTCGCGATCACCAACTGCAACGACTGGTTCTGGGCCATTGTCAAAGACGACATGACGGACGACGACCGCGCGCGGCTATTGCAGTTTGCGACCGGCTCGTCACGCGTACCGCTCCAAGGGTTCAAAGGGCTCACGAGCTACGATGGGATGTTGTGTCCTTTCTCGCTGCAAGCGATCGAGTACAAATACGGGGCACTGCCACGTGCTCATTCGTGCTTCAACCGCATCGACTTGCCGCTGTATCCGACAAGAGCGCTCTTGAAAGAAGCGCTTTTTGCGATCGTCCGCCTCGAAATGACCGAGTTTACCCTGGTGTAGACACCCAAGCCGTGGGGCAGCGACTAACGACCTACATGTACTACCAAGTGTTTTGTCAAATATGGTGGCGCATCTGGAGAGCATGACGTTTTGGAGAGAGATGGGGCGACAGAGTTGCAGCCAAAGCCGCAAAACAACCGTCGTTGACGGCTCCGCATAGATAGTAAGAATTCTGTAGCGCGAGCGCGACCGATTCCGCTTCTCGCAACAAATGCAACGTGAACACTCGACAGAAAGAGGTCGTATTCAATCTGGAAACACGAGCTAGTGTACTGCCAAAGGCTGTATAGTCCCACAGCAACGGCTTCTCCCGTAGGACGAAGCATGCAAACACTCATCGCCTAGTCCCGGCCCCGTGGCCTTGTTGGAGGTTGGAGGCTGGGCACACGCTCAGTGCCCCACCACTGTATGTCACAAAGCGACACGGACGTTGGAGCAATACAGATCGGTGGAGGCATCGTACTCGAACCAGATCGGACAGTCGCTTAGCTATCGTTTGTCGCCATCGACGCGCAACGCTCGACGGCTCGGCGCCACTCGATCGCCGACCGCGATCTTTTGCCAATTCGCCGCTTGTGATTGGCGGATTCAAAAGATTTGGCAATGTATGATTGGCCCATGCCAAAGATACCGTATTTCGAATGGCTCCCATGCTGCCCGAGCTCATCGAGCTCATTGCGGTCTACATTGCGCAGCCGTACGACCTTCTGCGCTACCTGGACGCCGTTGAGAATGGACTTCGCCTGCCGTTCCGAAGCCTCCGTGCGCTGCTGTCGGCGAGCTTGCGATCGCCCGGGCTCCGCCTCTGGCCCGCGCTCGTGCTGCCGCTGAGCTCGCACGACGCATCGCTGCGCCAGTACGCTTCCGACTGCATCGAGCTGTTCTCGATCGTACGCGTGCGGTCGCTCGAGGCGCATGGCATCACTTCGCTGCTGCGGCCCGCGACGCTGTTGTCGCTGGGTCCTCTCACAACGCCGGACGAGGTCCGCGCCGTGTGCATGGCACCTTGGCGAGCGCGGCTCGTGGCGCTCGAATTGCATCTTTGGGACCGTCTCTTAGCACACGATGTGTGGACTCCCACATCCCTGGCCTTGCTTGGTGCGTGCGTGCGTTCACAGCCCCAGCTGGCGTCGTTGCGTCTGCGCTGGCAACTCGACCAGAGCCACGACGCCTTCCAGCACGTGCTGAGCGACGTCTTAGATCTGGGAAGGTCGCTCTCGCACCTGGCGCTGTCGTTCAACGAGGCGAGCAAGGTGGTTTGGAACGAAGCCCTGGCGACGCGTCTTGGCTCGTGGCTTTGCACGTCGCGCGTCACGTCGCTGGCACTCGATGGCCTTCGCTTCGACTCGATGCATGCAGCCACACGCCTCGTCGCGTCGTTGCATGGCGCGCCTTTGCTTCGAGAGTTGCGCCTCGACAGCTTGCAACTCGAACGCGCGCTGAGCCGCGCGGCGCTGCCCCCCGCGCTGCGCTCGCTTTGCGTTCATGGCGCGTCACTGCTCCCGCAGTGGCGCACAGCAGCGCATCTCTCGACGCTCGCACTCCACTTTGAGTTTCAATACAAAACCTCGGGCAAGTCGGGGCCATGCTGCCGAATCTGTCGCGGCTTTGCACGCTCGTGCTGCCACAAGTCGACTTACAGCACGACGCCGATCAAGAGGCGCTGGTCGCGCTCTTGCCGCAGCTCACAGAACTGCACCTCGACACCAACAGTCTCGGCAACGCAGGCGCTTTGCGGCTCATCGCCACGTTGCACGAGTGCCGGTACCTTCAAGTGCTCTCGCTCATCCAGCAAGGCGTCACCGACGTCAGTGCGATCGCGTTCGCAACGGCCGAGAGACCCTCGACCTTGCGCACGCTTCGACTCGGCCGGAATCACGTGACGTGCGTTGGCGCCACCGCGCTCTGCCACGTCATACCCCACCTGGACGTGCTCGATCTGAGCCGCAACCGGATTCGCTACGACGGCGCCAAGGCCATCAGCAATGTGTTGCCCTTGACGACGCACATGCGTACGCTCGACGTGCAAATGAACCCGCTGAGCGAGGCCGGTGTCTTGGTGCTCGTCGCGGCGCTTGGTCGGGAGACAGCGCTCCGCGCTGGTGTCCTCGACCTCAGTGCAACAGTCTCCCGCGCATACGTTCCGCCGTGTCGAGCTGCCATCAAATCGCTGCCGTGTCCGCACTACGTCGTCTTTCGGTGCTAGTGGAAGGGCACCCTCTCGCGCAACCGGCCACGTCGCCAGTAAAGATTAGCAGCTTATAACTTGACTTTCATCATCCATTCTCGGATACGAAAGAACGAGCTTGGCGCTTATTACGGCTGCTGGCGCAAGATGGGACCTTGGCAGCTGGGCTCGAGTACCCAGCGGCAAGCGATCTGATCCCGTCGAGCTACTTTGAGAACTAGGCGGTGCACGGTCGACACGAACCCTAGCCCTAGGTTCGCCAACGCCACGACCCTCGCTACTATTATACTACCCTGGCTACTATTATACTACCCTGGCTACTACCGGTACGTGCAGCGTTGCCGTATATTGACGATAGAAAGACGGTGGCGATTGTCTACTAGTCGGTGTTTATACATGACGTTATTCTCTACTTGACTAAAACTCGGCAAAGTCAAAGTCGAGCTCGTCCGTAAGTGTCTTAATGACGAGGTCGTCCGGCGTATACGTGTAGTCGCGCGGGTGGTATCCTTGCTGCGGATAAAGACAGGACGAGTGGCGGAGCCCCATCTATTATCAAATATATGTCCTTAACCCTCTGCCCCACTAGACGCTGTACCACGAGTCGAAATCACTCACATTCATTGCGCCCTCCGACCCTTGCGGATGCTGTTGCTGTTGCTGTTGCGTCGGCGGCCGCGGCAGACTGTATGGGTCCATGTACCCGCCCTGGGACGGCGGCGGCGGCATGCCATAATGACCTCCCATGCCTAGTATCAAGGTATCAGGCGACAACCCTACCCGCAACCACGACCTACCCCAGTCGTTGACATTGCCGTTGCCAAGACCCGCCATGCCATCGAGCATCGACGACGTTGGGCCGTGGTGGTACTGCGACGCATGGTGCATGGCTGTGAGCTTTTGGTCGGGCATCATGCTGTGGTGCTGCTGCAGATGCGGGTTCATGCCACTAGCCATATACGCATGAGCTCGATGCAAGAGACGTCATGGATCCCACACCTGTTGAGGGCGTGGCCGGCAGTGAGGCGGCGGTGGTGGTTGGCCCGGTCCGGGTTTTGCTTGAGCGACTTCCAGCGGATTTTGACCGAATCCTCCGTGCGCCCGGGCAGCAGCTGCGAGATCTGCGACCACTTGTTGCCGAGCCGCGCCTGGGCGCTGAGAATGACCTTGTCTTCCTCGGCCGTGTACGGACCCTTGTTGATCGACGGGTCCAAGTGGTTGCGCCACCGCTCCCGGCACTGCTTGGGCGTCCGCCCCGGGATTTGGTCGGCGATTTGGCCCCAGTTGTTGCAGCTCTGCTTCACGAGCACCTCGAGGATCTTGTCTTCTTCGAACGACCAGTGGCCCTTCACGAGACCCGGCTTGAGCACCTTGCGCCAGCGCTGGAGACACTGCGCGTGGTTGCGACCAGGCACTCGCTCGGCGATCGCCTTCCAGTTCTTCTCGCCGTGCAGCTGGACGCTTTCCTTGAGCGCATTGTCCTGGGCTTTGGTCCAGCGCTTCGTCGACGGCGCATCTTCGGGACTGATCTGCTTGACGGTATCAGCATGCGTCGGTTGAGCATGCACAGTCTACCTCGGGGACAGGCGGGAGGCCGCTGCCGTCGCTCGTCGTCGTCGAGGTCGATGTCGATGCGGCCGTGCTGCCGTCTTCTTGGTAGTCGTCGTCGTCGTCCTCATCGTCGTCGTCGTCGTCGCCGTCGCCACTGCCTTCGTCATCGACACACGCCTTTTGCGCCGGCGCGGCTTCTCCCTTCAAGAGCTCCCAGTTGCTGTTGGGCCGCTCGCGCTTGGACCTAGCGTTGGTTCATGAGCAATATGGCAGACGCCAGTATGGTTGCGTACGTCAGCATGAGCAGCGAGTTGTTGTGCTCGAGGCCAAACGCCTCGTCGCCCGCCGGTTTGTGCAGCGAGTCTTCGAGGTCGCGGAGGCGGAGCTCGCTCTCGCCAATGTGCGCATTGTCGAGCATGTGCTGCATCGAGTTGATGTCCTCCGATGTCACTTGCAGCAGCGACGACTGGCGCGAGTTGGTCCGTGCCAGCGGCGCCCTACACACGACTCATGAGCCTTTGCGTGGTCCAGCGTATCGTAGCTACCGGCCATCGGTCGGCGCCTGCGCCTTGAGCCGCTCAAACTTGAGGCGGAGGCTGTCGAGGAACTTCTTCTTCGCTGGGATCGTCGAGTCGGCCATCGCTTGGATCACGCGGAACTTCTTCTCTTCCTTGAGCTGCACGACGTACTTGGCGAGGTCGTTGGACTCTTCGGCCGTCAAGCCCGCGAGGCAGCGGAAGAAGGCCGAGGACGCGTCCGACGGCAGCGAGCTCAGCAGCGCGTTGAGCACGTCGCCAAAGCTCGCGTCGCCCGACGGGCTCTCTTCCTTGACGGTCGCCATGCGCTTGACTCGGTTAAATACAAATTGACTGCCTCTCCCACGACCATACCCACTTCAAGTACGCCCAGGCCCATACAAAAAGCAAGTCAACTCCCGTGTATACAACGACCAAGGTACGGGGACTTCCCTGGACGCGGCTGGGAGATCCCCTTGAAATAGAAGAGAGACCAACGCTGCGAAAGAGACTCGGGCTTGATCATCGAGCTCATCACGGGTCAGCGTTATACGGCGTGTCGATACATATAAAAAGGTGCCTATTTGACGCGTCCTAGTTAGTCGATATGCACGTAGCGATGGTCCGACGGGTAGCTTCATGGTAGTCGAATTTCTGGTGAAACGAGCGAAATAGCTCCATTGGCCATGGTTGACAGGACGACTTCGGTGCCACGAACGGCGCCGTCGATGGGATCCTCAGACGGGGACTGCTTCAATCCCGCGTGTCACGCGCGCATGCTTTTGCAACAGCGACGAGGACGAACCCAAGTATTCCCAAGTGGGCGGATCATGACAACCGATGCGACGTTGTTTTTAGGGAGTCGGCCTAGAAAGGCAAAGTGGGATCCACTTGCTGGCTCCTTGCCAACGCAGCAAGGCGTCGGTGCGCACGCCGCACCTCTCTCGCTCTAGCATTACAAAAGCGTGGACGATATTGTCTTCAATCGGCCATGTTCGCCGAGTCCTCTGCATCTCGGCGGCGGAGAAGGAGCTGACGTCTTCGGGTGCGTTCGTGGCTACTACGACGCTCGCAACGACGACAGCCAACACAATCTTCCTATGGTAATAACTCATTTCAGCACAATCTCCTTACTGGCAGTCAAGGCGTCCGTGCAATGTATACGTGTGGCTGCACAGAGGCGCGCGTGGTCTCGCGCGCCTCGACGTTGGTCACGCGTTCGATCGACGGGTGGAACCTGCGTCAGCGTGCACGCCAGTCTCAGTTGGCGCCACAGTGGGAGTCAAGGCTACCACTACGCTAGGCGAGAACCCGTTCGATATCGCTGCTGCTTCCTCCCATCACCCCACTTGGTGGCAAGCGTCTCGCAAAGTTGTATAGCCCACTTTGGGATCGTCGATGGCGAGTAACACATGACAATGTGTACGTGTTATGTTGGCACTGACTAGTCGGACGCCCACCCGTCGGACGAGTCGTCGTCCCACTCGACGTCGCCGAGGTCCGTCTTGGGCTCAAACACCACGTTGGTGGGGCCACTCGGTGCCGATGCCGGTGTCGACGTCGGTGTGGCCGTCGGTGCCCTGGCACCACCGAGCCGCTCGCAGTGGCGGCACCTACTCAACCCTGGAGTGCTGAACAGAGGAGCGACGAGGTCATACCGTCCGCTGTCCTGCACGAGGTCGACGCCCCAGCCAGCGCATGTCGCACACCGCGGCAGTGTCGTCGGCTCTTGCTTGGCCGGAGCCGGTCCGTACACCGACGGCGGCGCTTCGGGACCTACCATCGGTCCCGGCATCGGTCCCGGCATGCCACCAAACATGCCGTAGCCGCCTTGCGGTGGCATCATCATCATGGGCGGCATCATCATCATGACCACCGGTGGCATATTCGGAAAGCCTGGCGCTTGCATCGCATAGCCCCCTGGAAACGGCGTCATTGGCGACGGCACGGGCGGTGACGGCACGGGCGTCGACGGTCGGACGGGTGTCGTCGGCGGGCTACACCGCCGCGATACACCAACATGCGTAGCAAGGAGCTGACGTACTGGAGGATCGGACGGCGCGTGTGCGTATGTTTGGGCGGCTTGCGGTGCACAAAGGACGCGCACGCGTCACAGAGGTGCCGCTGGACGCACTCGAGACACTCCTGCGTCGCGCTCGCCGACTCGCAGCACTGGCAAAACGGCACTATGACGTCATATTGTCTTCTCCGCATACGACAATAGTGTGCATATTCCTACCCGACACGAGCGCCAGCGTATGGTTGAGCAGGGTACCATACCGCTCGTGCTGCGCGACCACGCACGCGTCACAAAAGATGGTCGCGCACTCGAGACACCTAGCCCTGATCAAGACATGTCGCATGCTTGTGTAGGATGCTACCGCTGCGTGGGCGGCCCGGCCTTGCAGTGCGGGCAGATCGAGAGGTCTTGCGTGTCGACCTGTGGCGGCAGCAGCTCGGTCACGGGACGCGCAGATTTGACATCGAACGCGACAATCGCCGTGTCTATGTCGGCACTCGATGCATTGATACTTTTGAAACAACAAGGACGTACGCTGGGACGGCGGCGGGTCGGCGCGCGGGGACGGCGGCGCTTGCACCGGTGTGAGCTCGGCGGGCTTGATCCATACGCTTTTCTCCGTGACTGCGTTGTAGTAGTACGTGCGCCCGTCCGGTGCCGTGTGCTCCGACCACGCTTCGGGCTACGCAGAGCGCGTCACGACTGTCTCGTCGAGACCAAGGCATCCTACACTGTTGGGCAAGAGGGACGACGACGGTGGCGCGTCTGGCACGACCTAGACATCGAGTGGGTGGGTGGCGCCATCTAGATAAGTGGTTCTTACGTGGTCGACAACGGGTGTTGTCGCGGCGACAGCCTAGCCTCGCGCCAATGATCTATCGCTGCAGTTGAAAGCGTCGTACCTCGTTTGGACTGCTGCTGTCGTCGAGGACGTTGACTTTCTTGGTCGGTTTGGTCGACCGGCTGCGCTTGGTGGTTGCCACCGGTGCCTATTCATATGCCGTCTTGTGAGTGTCGACACGACGCGTCGCGCACCGCAAGCGGCTCGTCGCTCGACGACGTCGACGCTTCGAGCACGGCTTTTTTCGACTTCATTTTTTGGATTTTTTTGGGAATCATTTTCTTGCGTGGCTTTTGCAGCGGCTAGAGAGCATAGCGCATTGGCGGTAGCGGCGTGGGACGGACGTACCAGTACAGATGCGACCGGTGGCGCTGGCTGCGACGGCGGGACGGGCGCCTTGCTCTTTTCGGCTTTTTTGCTTTTTTTCGCTTTTTTTGCTGGATTGGCTCGTTTGGCGCCGACCGGCTCGTGAACCTCATCGACCTACGCAGTGCTTGTATCTCATACATCGAATCGTGGTCGTGCTACTGGCGGCGTAGGAGCTACGTCGTTGCTTGTGTGGGTCACCGCAGCAGCTTCTTGCAGCACTTGGGCTTCGACGTCGCCCCACTCGTCCATGGGAAATGAAAAGGGATCCGCGTCCTTGTCCGCGTCCTTGTCCGCGTCCTTGTCCGCGTCCTTGTTGTTGGCCGTTGAGGCGGCTTGCGCCTGCTTCTTGAGCTCGAGCTCCCGCAGAAAGGCGTCGGTATCGTCCTCTTCCATCGCAAACAGACTGCCTTGTCGTTGCTGGCGCTTGAGCTACGTAGTTTCAATATATCAAGACAACAACAAACACCCAGTCGGTGGTACCCGAAGGCGTTCGGCTGTCGAGAGCGTCGGGTCCACCGCTTCGGTCGCGTCGACGGCGGTGTCAACAACGTCGTCGTTCGCACTGGGCGACCGATTGATGGGCTGCGGCCCCGCGCTACGCAGAGCGTGTCCTCACGGCGGCAGAGGAGCGATGCGACGTACCCAAGGAGCTTCTCAAGGGTCGACGCCATCGTCTTCTTCGTTGGCGCATCGTCCTCGCTGGTTTCATCTTCGAACCGAAGCTTCTTGGTCGACGGTGGTTTGGTGGCGGCTTCCTGCAGAGCGTTAGGTCGACAGCAAGGTGTCGTTGTACCGGCTGTGGCTCGACGGCAACGACCGCGGTCGGCTCGTCGTCGCTCATGACGACAGGTGCGTCATCGGGTGTCGGGCGCGATGCTGACTCGTTGGGCTTCTTCTTGGACGACCGACGGCGGTCGAGGCCCGGCGAAGCGGTGACAGCAAGCGAGGCAACGACGACTGGCACCGGTACTTCGGGGTTGTCCCATCTACTCTCCCCGGTGCGCTAGTAGTACCGTCCATCATGAGCGCCATGCGACCCCTTCGTAGGACGAGGCAGGTCGTACCGCGTTGAAGTAGTAGACTTGACCGTCTTCGGCTTCGTACGCCTTCCAGTCGCTCTGTGCATATCCGCATACGTGAAGCCGTCGTTGGGCGTTGTTGGTGGAGTACCTTGGGGCCTCTGGCAGCCTTTTCTTTGGCCTTCTTCTCTACAAGGCGCCGCGTCAACTCAGCGAGCGGACGAGCGACGTACTAGCTTTGAGGCGAAGGCTCTTGGAGCGCTGCAGCTCTTCGTGCTCTTGCTGCTCTGTCGCAATGCGCGCGCGGCGCTCGACCTCGGCTTGGCGAATCTACGCAGAGCAACGTCGTCGCGAGTCGTTGGAGTGAAAGCCCGTACCTTTTCCTGCTGCGCGACCTGCTCGAGGTACTGCAGCGCCTGACTCGCCTCCTTGCTCTCGGGATACAGCGATGCGAGCAAGAAGAGCTTCCATTGCCGGCGGTCGGCTTCCTTTGCCAGCACCAGCCATAGCGTCGTGACCTTCCCGGCCTTGCCGTCGTCGTCGTCGGACCCGCTCCCACGCACCTCGCGCTGGCAGTCGACACGCAGCCCGACGTTCTCGGCGTCGACGCCCTTGAGCTTCTTGTCAATGAGCCACTCGTGCACGTGCAAAATGCGGTACATCCGGTCTCGCTCCACGTCGGCGAGCAGGCCGCCAGCGAGGACTTGCAGCCGGCATGGCTTCCTATCGGGTCAGCGTGACGTGGCACGCTGTGGTGCAAAAGTCGTACAAGGTCTTTTGGCCGGCTTTGCGCCGAACGACGCCCTCGTAGTAGACGGCGAACGCGGGCGACGGCGCCGCGGCCTCGGACCCGCTCGCGCTGCCTTCGTCCGAATCGCTCATCCTCGCACTGGGATGATTTTTAGCCAATCCGCATCCGCATTGCCAATTGCACCTATCGGATTGGTGCATATCGCAGCAATTATATCTCTTTTTAGCCAATCCACGCTAGATTTCATGGCAGCGTTTGACACATACACTGGATCGATTCCAGTGTTTCCACCCAATGTCTTGTGAACGCGTCCTGACGAGCTCTCTAGCGATCGCAAGCGGCTCCCAGCACTGGAGGCTCCGTCATGTGCACGTCGTCGTCTTCACTGGACTGTCCATGGTACTAGCTATATCGGCAATTCGCCAGTAGTGCGGGAGTGTTGAATTTACTGGCGCGCCGCATAGAAAAAGAGAGGGAAAAAATCCTGGATCCTATTTTATCATCATTTTATTCCAGCGCCAGCGCCACGGGCTCTCCCCGGATTACGCAATCGTGGTAGCTTGATTACGTCATATCACTGGCTCCAGTAGTGTGCTTGTCCAATCAGAACGGGGCCGGATAAGCAACAACGCTGCCGGAAAAGCCAGATGCGCCGGCTCTGATTGGACAAAATGAAGGATTTTTACAAGGCCCGTCAAGGCCGCTCACAAGGCCACCAGGTATCGGTCCGCAATGGGCCGTGCTCGTGCACCCAAGAAGCTATCTCCCGCCCGGTACCGTGCACCCGTCCAAGAAGGAGCGTCGGATGCGCCTCGTCTACCCGAATGACCAGGACGTGTGCTTGGATTGCCGCAACCCCGCACTACTTTGCGACTAAGCTCAACCCGGCCAAGTACAAGTACGTCGCCAGCTATCTCTCGACTTGCGCCAATGGCATGCCTAGGAACATAATCCACAGACAAGGCGACAACACGCCACAAGTGCAGCTTCCGCAAGCGCAAGCGACTAGTGGGGACGACGCGTCGCAAGTGCAGCAGCCGCAAGCGCAAGCGACTACTCAAGCAGACGCGCCCGGCGCGATACCGTCGTACGTCTTACTCTCACTTTCGATGCACTATCTCTTACGTGCTATGTGTAGAATGGTCGAGGATGCGCTCGTAGAAGGAGCGAGAGGGCACCCTGCCGTCTTCGTACGGTCCGCGCCCTAAAGATCCTCTCGACGCAGCAAGTGGCCATCGTGGAAGTACACGCTGCCCGATGCGTCCTTGAGCCTTGGCTCGGTTCCAGACCCCGGCGCCTTTCTCTTTGGCGGCTGCGACGTCCACGTCTGGTGCCCGTTCACTTCCTACTCGCATCTCATCGACGTTGCCAATCGTGCCCGGCGTGCGGCAGCAAGTACCAACTCCGTAGCATTGTATAAACAATCCATTCATGTCATACAATTGTGCCAACTTCAGCGTGGCGCCGCCTGGAAACACCACAGTTGCCTACGCCGCAAGCTGATGCTGCGGAGTTACCGACGCAGAGTCGGCAACGGCGCGCAATGAGCAAATGGGTTACGTGTTGCTATGTGAGAGCGTGCTAGCGGACGGCGCTAGGACGATGCGGACATTCCGCCTCCATGTAGCATGAAGCGCCTCTGGCGGCGACGGCATGGGTGGCTGGCGCTGCGCCGACCGCGCGGCCTGGTGCGCCGCGACGCAATAGAATGCCAAAGCACGCCCTTGATATTTGATCGGCATGCCCAGTATTCGATTTCAAAGGATATAAAGTCTCAATAGAGCAATGCCAGTAACTCCTAAGGTCCCAATTAAACGGCGATACGCCGCTATATCGATCGAGTGTAGCTCTGTCTGCGCATGTGGGTGGCAGGGCGAGTAACGCGCTCGCCCAGCGCCACCAAGCTCTCTACTCCCGCAGCGCCCTCGGCGTAGAGTCTCAAGCAGCCCAAGGACTCAAGCCACAGCGCCGAGTTTGCCGTTTGGCGTTCAGCCGTACAGCAAGTTGCGATCCTCCGCAAAGTCGAGCGAGCGAGTCTCGCCGGACGAGGTGCCAGCCATATGCAAGTCCGTAATGCTGTCGTCGCATCGCCAGTCCCACGCGCTTCTCTGTCAACCCATGGACCCTTAGGCTACTAACATTAGGTTGCTCAACCACGTTGGCGTCAACGACGTGGTCTCGCGCGCCACGACACGACCCATCAAGCAGCAGCCATCAGCCTCGCGGTCGGCTTGCGTCAGCGCCACCATCCCCATCGTCGTCCAACGACCGTGGTGGGAACACTTGGTAGGAACGCAAACTTTTGGCGGCCAAACAGATGGTCGGTGCGGCCGTTCCATGCGCTTCTTCGTCGCCGCCATGGCCATGGCCGCCTCGCTCGCTCTTGATGGCGCGGGCGGGGCTCGTCTTCTGCATAGACAGTGATGTCAGTATGGCGACCCGCGGACTTGTCGTCATCGTCGTCGTCATATCGTTGTGACGGTCGTTGACCATGGAACTCGGAACCCTAGGCTTGTGTGGATTCTGAGTCGGCGACCAGATGGGGCGAATGGCGACCGGCGACCAGCCCACACACTCGGTTTGTCGCTTCCTTTGACGCAGCATGCGGCGACAGGCAAGTGGCGCGCCGCCGGCGCAGCACCTGCTTCGGACGCAGCAGCAATGGTACGAGGAAGGCATGGGTCTCGTGAACGCGGCCGTCAGCTTTCAGAACGCGGGCGACGTCGAGGCCGCGGACCGCCACTTTACGCAGGTCATTGACGTGTTTGAGCGCGCGCTCAATTTGCCGTTCAAGACCGCCGAGGACCTCGAGGCGGCCGCGCGGCTCAACGCCAAGATGACGCGCTACGTCAACATGATCAAGGCGCAGCGCGCCAAGGTGCCGGCGACGGCCAGTGCGCGCAAGCTCGCGATCAAGTACAACATCCTCGACATGGACGACCTGCCGCGCATGTACCACCCAATTGCCCGCGTCTTTGCCTCGTACGTTGCCTTGCCTTTGTTGGCCTTTCTGAGATTGCACTTTCGATAGCAACAACGATCCGTTCGAGGTGTGCCAGCGGGCGCTTGGCTTCCAGGACGCCAACGTGGCCAACCAGCGCGAGCACCTCCTGCTGCTGTTGACCAACCTCGTCGAGCGCAGCGAGAAGCGCAGCGACGACCCGGCGCAAGAAGCCGCGGTCGTCGGCGCCGTCCTCAAGGCGTTCCACGCCAAGCTCTTTGACAACTACAAGAAGTGGGCCAAGTACCTCGGCACCAAGCCCGTCTTTGCCGACCCGCTCCGCGACATTGTGCTCTTCTTTCTCCTCTGGGGCGAGGCCGGCAACTTTCGCCAAACGCCCGAGCTGCTCTGCTTTTGGTACCACTCGCTGGCCAAGGACGTGGGCCGTGGCAGTGGCAAGGAGGCCGGCGACTACCTCGCATCGGTGATCCGGCCCATGTACGCCTCGCTGCGCAACGAGACGGACAAGAAGACGGTCAAGGGCGCGCGCGCGCCGCACACGGAGATTCGCAATTACGACGATTTCAACGAGTTTTTCTGGACCAAAAAGTGCCTCAAGTACAATGCGTACACGATCGGCGACGCGTGCGCCAAGACCAACAAGAAGGGCAGCTCGACGCTCGTCAAGAAGACGTTTATGGAGCGCCGCAGCTGGCTCCGCGCGCTGCTCTCGTTCCGGCGCATCTTCTTCTTCAACCTCGCGCTCATGTTTGCCACGATTGGCTTTGCGATCAACATGATTCTCGTGTGCCCCGACTCGGCCATCATGTACGGCAGCAGCGTCAACCCCGACATGAAGATTCTCAACAAGGTGTACCGCTACCAAGGCACGAGCGACCGGGAAGCGGTCAACGCGCCATTGACGTCGGATGCGTTCGTCGACAAGGAGTGCAACGTCGGCAAGCTCGTCACATGTCTCGGCGTCCGCAACTTTGATGTGGGCAGCTCACTCACCAAGATCCCACGCGACTTTGCCGAGCTCTTGGCCGACATTCCGTTCGAAGACTGTGTGGCAAAGAGCACGGGCCGCTGCAGCTGCTACCGCGAGGTACTTGCAACGTGCTTCAACAGCACCGGGACCATCGACTACTACGACGGCGACGAGACCAAGCTCAAGAGCGGCACGTACGACAACAGAAAATGCATTCCGGACTATAGCAAGGCAGCACTCAACATCCTCAACAAGGCGGGCAATGGCAAGCTCAACTGCGACGCGTGTACGCTCGAGATCCTCAAGCTGCCCGAGGTGCTGCCGACGCTGGGCAAGGCGCTCATCAAGTTCAAGGGTGCTGACCGTACCGACGACGGTGCGCTCATCATGATGGGCGGGGCCGCGCTCGTCGCTTGGGTGTTTGTATGTGAGCTCTCGGGTCGGCTCTTTTCGAGCGTCGGTGTTGGCTTTATCGGGCGGTCGCTGCCCGTGCCCTGCGGCGCGTACTGCCGCTACACGTGCTTTTGGGTCGTCCTGTACCTTGGGAAGCTCACGTTTGAGTACCAAGTCATGGTCAAGACGCTGGTCGAGACGTCGCTCTTCATTTGGTTTACCAAGCAGGACGAGTACTTGCTCGTGTCGCACTTTATGCTGCAGCTGCCGATCTACAATGGGCTGTACATTTTTTTTCTGTGGGTCCCGGCCATCATGGTCATCTTGTACGACGCGCAGATTCTGTATCTGCTGCTCTCGGTCGTTGTCGGGTCGGTGCACGGCTTCAACTTGCGCATTGGCGAGCTCCGGTCGTTCCGCATTTTGCGCATGGCGTTCCAGTCGATCCCCAAAGTCTTCAACAAAAAGATGGTGGCCAACTTGATTGAGCACAAGGCGCCCAAGAAGAAGCAAAAGAAGGCGCGCAAGCCCGACGACCGCCCGCCCGAGCGCCGCTTTGAGCGCGTCTCGTACTCGGAGGGTGCGCAGCCGCTGACGATCCATGCGCAAGGGTTTTCGTCGCTCCTCGAACACGACGGGTACCACGCGGTCGCGTCGCCCCACGCGCTCTCGCAGAGCCAGAGCGGCCACTCGAGCATCGACTCGATCACGGGCGTCTCGGGCGCCGAGTTTGAGCGTACGATTCCCTTTGCCATGGCGTGGAACCGGTGTCTCACGTCGATGCGCGACGCCGACGTGCTCAGCAACCGCGAACTCAACGTCTTGAGCTACCTCATCGACTCGGCCGACGTCGGGTCAGCCAACCGCCGCTTGTACTTACCAGCCTTTTTGACGGCCGGCAAGCTCGACGAGTCGCTCGACATTATCACCGAGTGCTACGCAGTGTACGAGAAGCTCAAGGCCGACAAGAAGAAGGGCTCGATTTTGCAAAAGATTGAGTCGGCGATGAAGAAGCGGCTCGTCAAGGACGACCTGCGCCTCCAGTCGATCTGCGGCAGCTACAAGTTTGCGACCCAAGTGACGCGGCTCCTCCTCGGGCGCGAGCACAAGGAGCTGGACGACTGCTTTGCGTTTATGGAAGAGTGCGTCACGACCAACGGCGTCATGAAGGGCCTGCACCTCAGCGGCCTCTACAGCTGCCGGGCCGCGGCCGCCGAGCTCATGAAGTCGATTCTAGAAGTGCCAGTCACGGCCAACGACGCCAGCATCAAGTTTCAACGCGCGCTGTACCATGTGATTGACAATGTCGAGGCGGTGCTGGCCTCGCTCAAGGGACTCCTCTCCAAGCAAGACCGGCTGCTCAAGATTCTGTCCGAGACGCCGCTCAAGCCCAACTCGTTCTTCTTCCCCGGCGACAAGCAAACGTACGCGCACCGGCAGCTGCTCGCGCTCGTGCAAGACCCGGTGGCCATGGACATTGTGTCGCGTGCGTACCAGCTACTGACAGTCGACAACTTTGACGCCGAGCCGCGCGCCGAGGAGGGCCAGCGCCGCCTCCGCTTCTTTGCCAACTCGCTCTTTATGGAGATGCCCGAGGCCAAGCCGATGCGGACGATGCGGTCGTTTTCGATTTCGACGCCGTTCCTCAACGAGATCGTCTTGTACTCGGTCAAGGACCTCACGGCGGCCAACGACGACTGCATCAAGCTGCTCTACTACCTGCAGACGATTTACCCGCACGAGTGGGACAACTTTGTCGAGCGCGTCAACTGCAAGGACATGAACGAAGCGCTCAAAAAATGCCCGGAAGAAGTCCAGCTCTGGGCGTCGTACCGCGGGCAGACGCTCGCGCGCACCGTGCGGGGCATGATGTACAATGCGGAAGCGATCCGGTTCTTGTACTGGCTCGAGATTGGCCAGAATGAGCCGATGCACTTGACGGGCTGTCGCTGCAACCGGTGCCTCCGCCTCGACGACATGGTCGCGCTCAAGTTTTCATATGTGTGCTCGTGCCAGCTCTACGGCAAGCAGAAGGACGAGCAGCGCCAGCAAGCGGCCGACATTGAGTTTCTCTTGCTCAAGCACCCGGGCTTGCGGGTTGCGTACGTTGATGGCCCGAAGAAGGTCAAGGACGGCCCGCCCAAGTTCTTTTCGGTGCTCATCCGCGGTGTTTTGGACAAGATCATTGAAGTGTACCGCGTCGAGCTCCCCGGCAACCCGATCGTCGGCGAAGGCAAGCCCGAGAACCAGAACCACGCCATCATCTTTACGCGCGGCGAGATGCTCCAGTGCATTGATATGAACCAAGACGGGTACCTCGAAGAGTGCCTCAAGATGCCCAACCTCCTCGCGACCGTCGACCGCAAGGAGCACAAGAAGCACCCGCTCACGATCATTGGCTTCCGCGAGTATGTCTTTACGGGCGGCGTCTCGAACCTCGCGTCGTTCATGCAGATCCAGGAGCTTTCGTTTGTCTCGCAAGGCCAGCGCATGCTAGCGCTCTTCCACGTCCGCCAGCACTATGGCCACCCCGATATCTTTGACAAGATGTTTGTCATGACGACCGGCGGCACGGCCAAGGCCTCCAAGGGCATCAACCTCTCGGAAGATATCTTTGCAGGTTTCAACACGACGCTCCGCGGCGGCCGCGTCTCGCACGAGGAGTTTATTCAAGTGGGCAAGGGCCGTGATGTCGGCATGCAGCAGCTCGCGCAGTTTGAAGCCAAGCTCTCGTCTGGTGCCGGCGAGAGCGTCATCTCACGCGACGTGATGCGCATGGCCAACCGGCTCGATTTCTGGCGGCTCAACTCGTGGTTTTACGGCAACCTCGGCTGGTACTTTACGCAGACGATGACGGTCTTTGGCATCTACTTCTTTATCTACGGCAAGATCTACTTTGCGCTCTCGGGCCTCGATGCGTTCTACCTCCAAGCCGGCCGCATGGGCATCTCGGACTCGCTCAACGCGTCGTGGGCGCTGCAGTTTGGCTTCTTGCTGGTCGTGCCGGTGCTGGCCGTCGTCGGCGTCGAGCGCGGCTTTCGACACGGCATTAGCTACCTCCTCTGGAACGTCTTTACGCTCGGGCCGCTCTTCTTCACGTTCCAAATGGGCAACCGCATGCACTTTTTTGACCGGACGCTCATCCACGGGGGCGCCAAGTACCGCGCGACCGGCCGTGGCTTTACGATCAAGCACGAGAAGTTTGCCGAGCTCTTTCGGTTCTATGCGTTTAGCCACTTCTACCGCGGCGTCGAGCTAGTCTTTTTGCTGGTTCTGTTTGCGGCCTACGGGACGTTTTCATGGTGCAACTGCGACTGGACGCTCGACCGTGGGTTCTACAATGGTGTCAAGCCGCCGGTCGCGGACTGGAACGCGCGCTGTTATGCCAACCACTACCAAGACTGCGTGCTCCCGACCAACCAGAGCTACGCGATCATGAGTTTTTCGCTCTGGATCGTGGCGGCGACGTGGCTCTGGGCGCCGTTCTTCTTCAACCCGAGCGGCCTCGAGTGGGACAAGCTCATTGACGACTACAACGACTGGCAAAACTGGCTCGAGACCAAGAACGACTCGAGCGACTCGTGGTTTGGCTGGTGGACAGCCGAGCTCGAGTATTTGGAGCACTCGTCGGCCGTCGCGCGCTTTGTGCAGTTTGCTCGCAAGGCGCGCTTTTTCTTTGTCGCGGTCGGGCTCTACCTCCAGCTCATGTACCGCCTCTTCTACACGGACGTCAAGAAGCTCGTGCCCGTCAAGCACACGGCCAAGAACACGATCGAGTACTTCACGCCGCACATGATCCTCGGCGGGTTTGTCGTTGTCCTCTTGCTCTTTGCGCTCGTCGGGTACTGCGCGAGCCGGTATGCCAAGAAGAGCCAAATGAAGCAAAAGAAGCTGCGCAAGATGAAGTTTCGCATCTCGGCGTTTGTGTTTGCGGTGCTGCTCGGGTCGCTCGTGTACCTCTCGTTCCGCGACTTGGTCGAGATGACGCTCATCTTGCTCATTGCTGTCTACTGGTTTGATCAAGTCATGATTGTGCGCCTCAAGAGCAGCCATGTGGTCGTGGCCGCGATCGCGCGCGGGTTTGACCGCGCGGTCGGCTGGATCGTGTTTGGCCCGATCTTGTTTATCGCGATGTTTATGCCCTTCCTCTCGCTCTTCCAGCAGCGCGTCATGTTCAACTCGGCGTTCACGTCCGGTCTCGAAGTCTCGAAACTCTTTGGCCACGACGTCGCCAAGGTCTCGGCCAATACCGTTGTCAAGAAGGTCAAGAGCAAGAAGAACCGCGACGACTAGTTGGGCATTTAGCAATATATTTTTTTCTATCGTACATCGTTTGGTGCGCTACATGTTGTTGTGGCCGCCAGCAGTGCTGTCGACGATAGCGTGTCACCCTCGACTCTGGATGTTAGGGTTAGGGTAATCATTGGGACTCCATGGACTCGACGTCGTGCATTCTCAACAAGCACAATAGCTCGAGTGCTTTAGAGCGAATCGTCGTGCTAGGCGTACCCCGAAGCTGCTCTGTCACTATGAGTACGTCTTGCTACGTAGCCCATGCATGCAAGCAAGGGTTGCCTTTATTATGGTGTAGTGGTGGCGCGCTATTGCTCGGGACCGCTTTGTCAGCGACCACAACATGGAAGATTCTCCACGCACTCGGAAACCCACAGCATCATCCAACAAAAGAGCTCAAGTCAAACATAGTAGCTCATGTACTAGTACTACATTTCGGTTTCTAGTGATATCTGCATCTCGAAACTAGACTTCAGAACAAAACTGCTGATCAGCCGCAAATCGTGTCGCTCGCAGAGCCGACTAACAGTTAACAACAGTTCGATGACATTTATATAGCAAGGGAGATTAGGCCACAGCGTAGGCATCGTGGTGATGATCTCGATGGAAAAATGGACCACAGCTCGGCACGAGGTAGGTCCACCAAAAGAGCAAAAGCACGAGGCTGGCACCGCCGACAAAGAGCGCAATCAGCCCAACATACTGCAAAGCCAGCGCGAGACCGTAGCCGCTTGCTTCGTATGTCGACGCCTCGGAGAGCGCAACCGCTATCGCAGCCAACCCAAGGAGAAGCATCGTGGCGGCGGAGAGCAGCGTGCGACGTCTGTGCTTGAAGGGGTCGGGCATTGCCTCGGAGATGGCCTCGGAATCAAATTCGGACGCAGTCGTCGTGACGTACTTTGTCGGCATTTGCGCGTCGCGTCTGCTTGTGAAATGACCTTACGTGGTCCGTCGCCTGTCGTTGGTCCCATCATCGTTGGGCTGTTTGAGTGGATCTTGAATCCAGGCGAAAATGGTGTAGGGGTAGGGTGGGGTTAGGGCTACGAACGCCAGGCTCGTACCACGAGAACAAGAGAACGACCTGAGAACGAACGATCGGCAAAGAAGGACCACCGACGTCCATGCAGCACCCATGGGTGCCTGTCGAAGGTCGTCGCAGGCGGCGACCGGACCGCTGAACGTGGTTTTGTACAAATAAATCCAATAGAATTTTAAAAATCCAATAGAACGCTGCGCCATATCCACTCCGCGAATCCATACAATCCATTCAAGAATACCAAATATCCAGTGCCAACAAGACGGCAGTGACAACGTGTGCGTGTGTTCAAGGAAGAAGGAGTCTGTGGCGTCAAAACTCGAACAAATCATTTTCAAACTTTACGTTGCCCACACGTTTGTCGGGATGCAGCACGGCAACTCCAACAACAAAACGAGTCATCTCACGGCGCTCAGCACGGCAATGTGCCTCGTTGGCCTCACTGGCCTCGTCGTCTCGGGTTATCTGGTTATTATTTGCACCGGCAAGTACCTCGCAGCACTTGGCAAGGGCCGCAATATCAACGACAGCGCGTCAGAGCTCATCCTTTTATTTGGCTTGGGCGTGGCCAGCGGCCTCGGCATCGTCCTACTCATTCTCGGCGCGTGGTGGAACCCGCTCGTACCGTGCTCTCAATCAAACCGCCAATAAGTTGCGGAATCGTAATGATTTTTCGACATTTTTGTTTCCTTTCGAGCTATCAAGGTCCAACAAACTTTGTCAATCGCGACAATGCGATGACACTTGTCGAGAAACAAAGAGAAAAACCGATCGCAAACCAGTGCAAATAAGAGGAGATCATAGAGGCATTGCGTTGATTTATTCGATTTTGGACGAGGTCGAAAAGCCGAAATGTCGTATCCGGATAATATCCGGATATTCGCGCCACTCACCCCATGCTCGCCAGAACTCGAGCATTTAGGAAAGCCCAAGGGCACGCGGCCGCCTCGTTGAGACGATGTATTGGACCTCGTATAGCTCTGCAAGTAGGTCCGTCGTATAGATCTCAAGTAGCATTATCTGGCGCGACATCGTTGAGAAACGAGCGGTCTTGGTGAACCAAAAATCCACTTCCTACTACACTGCAAACGTAGCGCAATTGCACAGCCACGAGCACTACGTCTGCTTCCGACTATCGAAACCAAAAGGGTCGTGTCGACCAAGGCATCGGTGTCTATCGATTGGTGCAGTGACAACTCATACCTTGGGTGACGAGCGATCCGGTTGCCCGGATTTAATCGCGACCAATATCCATGTGAATTTGTTAGAAAAAAGTAAGACGTCAGTTCTTTCATGGGTGCCACGTCGACGTCGGCATCGTGTACACTCTGGGCCACTCGGAGCTGGGTAAGCGTGTCAGAGGGGTTTCTTGCGCGAGGCGTATGCAGAGCGCAAGGCCGAATATAGTATGGTCGCGCCTCGAGCTGCAAGGAGCAAGGAGGGCATTCTTTGGCCAGGAACGCTTGCATCGTGTGGGTCTTCTAGCTCTTCGTGGTGCCACCAACATTGTAGATGATCCAACGTCCGACGTCGCCGTGCGTACTAGCATGGACGTTGTGGGTGTGTACCATCTGGTGTCGCCACAATCTCAGTCTATTGAATCCACTGGTACAACCCAGCACGGCGACCCTTCCGACACCACTCGATGGTAGCTCGTTGCAAGCTCCACCTGCTCGTCCATTTGTCATTTGTCATTTCGCTGCACGCCACCACCACCATGTCCACCAACGACACCACCACCACCACGACGGCCTTGCCCAAGCTCCGCCCGATTCGAGATGCCGTTCCCGACATGGAGGCGCTCCAAGTGGCGGCGCAGACCAAGGACCGCCACGCGACGTGTCGCCACGTCATTCTGCTGATTGTACTGGCATTCATTGGCACGTTTGTCGGTCTCGCGCTCTACAACAACAGCGCTGCGAGCACGCGCTACCACGCTCCCTCTTTTGCGTACAACGCAACGCAGTGCAAGGCGTGCGGGGCTGAAACGACCAAGAACGGCAGCGTCATCACTGTCGATGCGCCGCGCTGCCCCCCGTCGTTTTTCCCAGAGGTGGCGTATGCAATGCAGTACTGCCCTGTGGCAGTCGGCGCTCCCTACTGCTGCTGCCCGACCATCGCGCATGACCGCGTCGGGTTTGTCGGGTCGTGCCCGTCGCGCCGTGCGACCACGTGCGACTGTCAGTTTGACCGGACGTCGGAGGGCGATGCAGCGTCGTACCGAGCACTGTACAACTATGCAATCAGCTTTGGCGTGATCTGCTTGATCTTGCTCTCGGCGTGGTGCTGCCTCCTTCCGTGCTTTCACCGGGCCATGGACAAGCGCGAGAAGCTTGCGCCGACAGCAAAGGACGCGGCGGTCGTCGCGTCAAGCGCAGTGTAGTAAATAGAAACAATCAATAGAGGTAGTAGAGTGTCGAATACCTTGTTTCAGGGCTACGGGTGGTGGTGTGGCCACGTCAAACTCGTCGCGAGCCAAGGCAAGGCACGTCGGAACCGGTAGAGTCCGACGCAGGCGCAAGAAGCAGAGACTTGTGTCGTATGGAACAAAATGTAAAATGTATTCTGTAAACATGTACTAGTAGTACACTGGATAATTCAAGGTGCAACTACGATTGCTGCACGCTATCCTAACGTTGCCGTGGCGCGACTAGAACTGAGAATCACAACAACGCAATCGTGCCGACAAAAGGAATCACCAAAGTTGATACAGGTGCGAGTTGTACTAAGCCACATTGCATGCGCGCGTCCACACATACACGACCGCTGACCACGGAGACCACCTTGGAGCGTGCCACGTCATGGATGAGTTTTAACCAATAAGACACCAACTATTTTTGCCGGAAGAGAATGCCGGTGGGATGAGCATTCGAACGACCGTGGGCAATGCAGAGAGCACCCCTTGTTACGAGCATTTCTAACAATACTCTGTGTGGTCCATTCAAGCAAGGGTTAATTCTGGTAGGAACGTTTTTGGTGCACCAGTATCCCAGGGGATGAATTCGTATTTTCTGGATAACTCATTGGCTATATATCAAGCCATTTGGCCAATGAAACGCAACGTCTAAGCCAATCGCAGCGCGCGAAACGTGTCCAGTGAAGTGCGATTTTGGGGTCCCCATGAAGTGCTATCTATCGTCCGGACGTTTTACTTGATTAATTTTCCGCATAAAAAGTTGGGCCAAGCCACGGAACTTTCATATTTGACTTCCATGATGGGGTCAAATATGTCGGATGCTTCTAGAGAACGCGACATCAGCAAGTGCTGTCATTCCGGTTGATGATCGCATTCCACCAGGATGGGCGGCTGTACGGTACAAGAGGAGTTGCAAGTCGTTGTATGATTTGCCTGCTGATTGCCAATACGATCCAACTGCTCAACGTACGAGGTCGACGACACGCGTTGGCTCTTCGATCGGTCGACGACGACACGCGTTCTTGTTGGCTCTTCGCTCGCTCGTAGAAAATTGCAAATTTTGGCAACCGAAAGAATCCTGGCACGAGCCAGCGGGCATATGAATCGGTGCAGTGCAATTTGACCGATCCCGCACACAAAAATTCCGGGACCTCGGAGTCATTGTCCAACGTGCGCGGTCCGACCCACTACGCACCAGCACTGTGCTCGCTCGCTAGCATGACAACAGAGACCGAACAGCACCACGCACCGCATGCCAAGTGCCGCGACCGCCTCCGCACGCTCTGTATCTTAGCCCTCTTTGGCCTCACCGCGGTGCTCGCCATCACGCTCTTTGATGCGTCGTCGCACGCCGAGCCGTACACGGCGCCGCCAGCAATGTTCAATGCCAGCGCCTGCAGCGCCTGTGCGACCGACGCGGACTTTTGCTCCAAAAAGTACTTTGCCGGCGCCACTTCCAAAATGCAAGCGTGTCCGACGCCGACGACGGCCGACCCTTGCTGCTGTCCGACCAGCGCCCGGCGCAGCGACGGCACCAAGTTTGCCGGCGCATGTTGGCCAACGAGTTTGGACGCGACTTGTCTCTGCAGCTTTACGCCGGCCGAGAGTACCAACCACGGGACGTTCAACAGCTCGGTCGTTCGCTACGTAGTCGTCGCAGCCATGGCCGCGCTCGTTCTCATGATATGCGTCCTTGCATGCGTGGACCGCAGAACGACCAAGCGCCCGCCCGCTGCCGACGTCAACGCCGAAGCTGCCGCCGTGTAGCTCATGTGCTTTCGTACTAGTAGGAGCTCGACAAATGCAATTATCTACATTTCTATCCATCGACCGATTCGAGGCAGCCTCAAAGGTATGACGATAGAACCTTGGGTGGTAAGCTTGCCGTGGACCGACGGTTATAGAAGACAGTCTGTCGCCAGCTGCAAAGACATTTCGTTTGGTCTAATATACCGCGTGGACAGAACGAGCCAATATCACGACCAGGCAGTAGAGACTATATTAAATCGCACCCAAGTCCTTCATCTCGGCGAGAAACGCGTTGAGCTCACTGGTTGCAGGAGGCGCGGCCGGAGTCGGGAGCGGCACAGGTGCGAACGAGAGACCTGTTGTCGTTGGCGGTGGCGGCGGCGGCCGCGCGCCACTCGGGGGCTTGGGCTTGGTGACTCGTTGGACACGAAGCGCAGCTGGCACCAGCGATCGTACACGGAGCTCGTCCTCGTCGTCCTCGTTGTAGCGCATCGCTATGTCATATGAGCATACCGCTATGGGCGCGCGTCCTTGCTGTACCTGGTGCGGGCGGCGGCGGCGGTGGGCGCTGCGGCGGCGCTAGCACAAACACGATAAGGCCAGACCTGTACTGCAGCTCCCGTACCCGGTGCAGCCATTGGCGGGGCGGCCACAGGCGGCGGAGGAATGATGTCAAACGAGCCCGGGGTTGGAAGTGGCGGCGGTGGCGGTGGCGGCAGGATGCCCACCGGCGGGTGGGGCGGCATCATCACTGGTGCGACCATCTAATATGTCGCAACGTTATTAGCCCGCAAGCGAGGCGACAGGAGGGTACCGGTGGGGGGGCCATGCCCGCCGACGGCGGAGGCGGCGGGGGACGAAAGGGTGGGGGGCCCTTCGGGAGCGGCGGGCGGTTCTTGATCTTCATGCGCGGGCGCGGTGCCAGTGGCAGCGACGGCTATGTCGAGCGCCATGAGGTTCGATCCACGGACACGCTCGTACCTGTCCAGCAATGTTGTTGCGCATGGCCGCATCTACCGTCAGAAAGAGGGCATCCGCATGAGGAACGCTGACGAGAACGACGTACTTGTGAACGGGTGGTTGCCACTGCCGCTGTAACCTGGCGGCGCGACGCCGTACGGATTAAAGATCGGGTGGTAGTGGATCGACTGCTCGGGGTTCTTGTAGAGCTCCTTGTTTCTCGCATCGAGCTCCTTCTTGGACTACTCAGCATGCATCATGCCAACTACCACAGTGCTCTTGGCCTACCTTGGGCAGCGCTGCTTCGCGCGCCTTGGCCTCGGCTTCGAGCTACATGGCTTTGCGTATGAGGATCGTCGATCGTCAAGAGAGCTGGGCGCGTACATCCGCCTTTTTCTTCTTGGCTTGCCGGATCGTCTCTTCTAGCTACGCGCGCCATGAGAGGTGCATGCCAAATGTATTGTGTACTTCTTGCTTGCGCTTACGCCCGGCGCCATCGAGGCGATCGTTCTCTTCGTCGCGCTCGAGCTTGCGGAGCTAGCACGCGTTGGGTTGTGGCATGGCATGGCATGTGGCCGTACCTTCTCTGTGAGCGCGCCAATGTCGACGTTGTCGCCCGTCGTCTGCTTGACGTGCTCGCGCCGGTCCTTGACCGCCTTCTTCTCCTTCTTCTTCTGCTCCTTCCGGTACGCATCCAGCGGCGCCGCTGAGAGCTTGTCCTTCGCCATCGCTCGGTGCAATATCTGGGGTCATCGATGATTGGCCAAAATGCGACCGAGTGTCATAAAAAACGAATATTAAAATAATCGTAGAATGTTGCATACAAATATTCAGATAATATTGCTGGCATGTATTTTAATGTCTGGCATTTGGATTTAAATTGACCGCCACAGTCTCTCGCAAGCGCGCATTAGCAAGGGCAATCAACAGGTTATGGACCCTTGGCATTCGTTAGTAGGAGCTCTCGTCGAGATAGTACATTTGTGACTTTAGTTCGACTACACACTCGACGAACGATTAAGCCGCCGTTTTTCTACAGGCAAAGTTTTGGCGGCGGCAATGAGCCCATGTATAGATTGATTGCATCGGACTAGTGCGTGCTCAAGATCTCCGCCAGCCGCACAGTCTTCCATGTCCTATACATACGCACCTCTCGACGTGGAGGCCCCAACAGCGAACGAGTGCGAGCGAGATTACCCGATAACGCATCGTGGTAACCCTAGTCCTACCCTAACCATATGTCCCGACGGCGTCCACAAAAATAGCGCGTATTAGTACACGACACAATTAGCGCGTCGTACGCGGTAAGCCTAGGAACGCTTGGATGCGATTGGCCAAGTCGGCGGCCGTTGGACGGTCACTCGGCTCGGTCGCCATGCACATCATCGCCCACTCGCGATACCACGCTGGCGCGTTGGTTGCAAACGACGGGCGTAAACCCGACGACGTGATTTGTTGGAGGATCTTGACTTCGCTGAGCGGCTTGCCGTGGTCGTCCAACATGTCGCTGTACGGGCGCTTGTACATGGACATTTCCGCGAGGAGGACGCCGAGCGAGTAGACGTCGGCGGGCGCCGAGTAGCGCGACTCCATGAGCACTTCGGGCGCGAGCCAGCGAAAGGTGCCAATGCCCTGCGTCATGGTCGCCGCGTTCTCACGCATGGCTTTGGCCGACGCAAAGTCGGTGATCTTGGCGCCTTTCTTGCCGTCGACAAGGACGTTCTTGGACTTGAGGTCGCGATGGACGATCGGGATCGCGTGGATGTAGGCGAGCGCATTGGCAATGTGAAGCGCAACCCGCGCCTTGAGGCGGTACGGAAAGCTCGCGTCGTTCGAGTTGCTGCAGTAGTCTTGGAGGTTGCCTTGGTCCATGTACTCCATGACGCACTGCAAGCGCAAGGCGGCCGGTGGTGCTTGCCACACGACGCCAACCAGCGACACGATGCGCGGATGGTCAAATCTAGTAACTAGCTCCTTTCGACTCAAAAGACAATAGTGTACATACCTCGACATGGTCACAATTTCGTCCACAAAATGCTGGACATCGGTCGCATTCGCTTGGCCGTCGTAGAGCTGCTTGATCGCGACCGTACTATGGCGGTACTCGCCCAGGTAGACTTCGCCCGTCGAGCCGCTTGCGAGCACGTGCCAGCACTCGACGTCTTTGGTGGAAATGCGGAATGGAAGGAGCGGTCCGAGGTCGCACTCGCTGTTGCGGACGTACAAGGTCGACGGCGCCGTGTCCAAGGCGTCGCACGCGGGCAGCGACTCCTCCTTGTACATCGAGTAGTCGTCGCGCGCTGTCAGCACCGCCGTCGACGACTGCTTGGACGGCCGATGGCAGCAAAAGTACCACGAGAGCACGATGAGCACGACTGCGCACCCGACGCCGATGCCAATGGCCATGTAGATGCCTACAGAAGATGCGTGAGCCGGCACGGCATACAGTGCGACGCACCGTTGGAGCTGCCGCTCGGCGCCGCGCCATCGCGGAGCGAGACGTAGCTCGTCGTCGTGTTGGTTGGCATGTCGGCCACTGGGCCATTACAATCGGGCCGTCACGGCGCTGGGATAAAGGCGCGTACGCGTGGGACAAAGAGCCGGTCTCGTCGCCCGATTGCAGTGGCGCGACCGCGGTCACGTCCCGGGCAGCGCGAGATACTCGACGTGCGAGCGCAGACGAGATGCACCGCGTCTCCTGCAAGCCGCAGCAGTCGTCGCCGTTGCAGTTGGCAGTCGTCGCAAAGTGAGGAACGAGCTCGAACTCTGGTTTGGATACAGTGTATGTAGCAAACAGTGGATGCGCAAGTGCAATGTCAAGCCGCCTTTTTCAACGCGGAACAGAAATGCAACTCGCAGTGAGTCCGTGCACACGCACACGATGCGTGTCGTCGTAGTATAGCCATGGCGCTAGGGTACGTACTGCGTCAGCGCGTTCGACTTAGAGTAGCCGCGGGCGTGTGTCATGCCTCTATCTGATCCGGTCGAGTCCCAGCGCAGCAGCACCGGGGAGCAGCGTGCAAGAACTGGCAGCAATAAGAATCCTATTGCAGCGACAAGGACGAGATACAAGCGTCGCAACGTGCTGCACGACCGGATCAACTCGGCAGCGAGTTCATTCGATTCTCCGAGGACGCCTCCTGGACGCTTCGTCGTGTTGGTGTTGGTCCTCTGTAAACCGACGCCAAAAAAAATTATATCGTTGGGGTGGTCCAGGAGAGTCGAGGAAGGTTATATTGACCCTGGATAAGCGGTTGAGCACCGTGATCATTAGACATGTATTCCAGCCTGCGCTACTCATAAAGCACATCCACAACGGTCCAGCCGTATCGCCGCCGTCCGTCGACTTTGCCTCAAGAGTCCACCACCGTGCAGTGAAAAGCAAGCGATATGTACAATTTCCTTTGCAAGAGCATTCACAACACCAACGAGCAGTAGCTACACTACGAGCAGTGTGTGGTCGCAGACGCGGTCGACAACGTATACATGTCTAGTCTTTCCTCATAGTAGCCTTTTGTACAGTGCAACCGCGTTGAATCACCTTGTTGGTTGGCGTCAAGGGAAAGTGGAACATCCTAAGTTAGTGGCGTTGGCGCCTCATGGGAGCACTCGAGTCCGAGTCGAGGACGATGCTTTCAGCAGGAGCTTGTGCTAGCCAGATAAATACTTGATGTGTCTCGGAAACCTAGAGTGTACATAAGGCAACTGTTCATCCGTGCCAAAGGATCTCAACCAAGCGTCCTTGTAGTACAGTGTAATGCGCCACGCGTTCAATGGCGCCATCGATCTGTCGGCCATACAAGGTGAAGTCAGGGAAATGGAGGCGCTCCTTCGCCCAGCCCTCAGTCCACCCTCATTTTCGTGCACTTGCCTGCAGTCTGCCTCCGTAGCGCCACGTATGTATCTATGTCGCAACAACCGGGTAACCAACGGCCTTGGCGAGTCCATGACAGCGGCGGCCAAAAATCTTGCACAGCAAGTAGCCAGTATCTGCCTCTTCCTCTTACACTGCGCTCTCCGACTGCCACGTTGCCAGCAACCTCTCCCACGTGGTTTCTCCGATATTTCACACGTGAAAAACGTGCACAAGATTTGCACGAAATGATTGGTTGGTGCCAGTGGGTTGGCGCGCCCGAATTGGTCGACAGCCGTGTCCCAAACAGCGGCTTCCAAGCCCCAGCCCCACACACGCTTGCGGCTTTGACCAACGCCACAAGATCCTTCAGGCCCAGAGTTTCTTCTCAAAGATCCAACAAGCTATTCGTTCACCACTTCTGATCAGTATTTGCTACTGGTCCAACACTTTGGCACGAGCGACCTTGGTGCTCCGTCATTACAGAGTCCAGTGGCGTCTTGGGATTCATTGGAGCCTCGGCGCTTGAAATGTTGCGTGCGTGGCAACAGGTGCTATTCGGGTGTAGCACCCACAAGCACCAGCTCGTGCTGTTATCACTGGTCCACGAGTACACAGACTACAGAAGCCCGGTGCTGCGTCGCTTGGCATGACTGCAAGTCGACCGCAATAATGGCCACCGCGCCCAACCGCTCGTCCTCTTGTCGTCGATCTCGCGATCACCTGGTTGACATTTTCCACCTATTTCCCACATCCTTGCATTTCTCACGCATTCGAAAGAACGCATTGCATTAAAAACTATCGCGCCACCATACAAACATCAAGCTATAATAAGAATTGTTGATTAAAGATCCGCGCGACATTTCACATGCCGCAACTTCAAGAAGAGCATTCAATGCAACATTTAATTATACATACATATTCGCTGTCAACCATGTGCATTTTTATTCCCGACACAAACCTGGTGGTCGGTGTTTTTTAAAAAATCGGATGCTCCCATACAAACCGCTTGATAAAATAAAATATCTTTAAAACGGCGAGCGCGGCACTCGAAGCTCAAATTTCAATTTCGGCGCTCGAGCTCAAGCAGTCCTTTCTACTGCTTTTGTATCGACGACCGACTTTGCCCTTCGCCTCCTCGTTGTATGCCAGGCTTCCGCTGCGGTGGGAACTCGAACGGCGACTGCTACTGCGTGTACGACTACGGTTAGACGCACGACTCACTACCAAGACTACACCTCTCTCTCTCTTTTTTCCAACAACTGACAACCATGGAGTGGCTCGAAATCGCCAAGGACCTCAACGCCGGCACGGTCGGCGGCGTCGCCGGTATTGTCGCGGGCCATCCGCTCGACACAATCAAGGTGCGCCTCCAGACGCAGTGCCACACGTCGTCACACGGCATTGCCTCGTCGATTCGCGCGATCGCCGCGACCGAAGGCTTTCGTGGCTTTTACAAGGGCATGCTGTCCCCGATCCTCTCAAACGCACCGATCAACGCGGTTGTCTTTGCCATTTACGGCCAAGTCTCGCGCCTCTTTCTCCAAGACAAGAAGGAGCTCACGCCGACGGAGCAGCTCATCGCCGGGTCGGCGGCCGGCCTCTTTCAAGTGTCATTTGCGGCACCGGCCGAGCTCGTCAAGATCACGATGCAAGTCAACAACTACCCGAGCAACTACTCGTCCATCACGTGCGCCAAGGACATTCTCGCGAGCCAAGGCATGAAGGGCCTGTACCGCGGGTGGCAGCTCAACATGCTCCGTGACGTGCCGGCGTTTGGCTCGTACTTTTACTCGTACGAGCTGCTCAAGCACTGGCTCACGGACGGCTGCTCCGAGAACGAGACGACCATGAACCTCCTCCTCGCGGGTGGCTCGGCCGGCTCGATCTCATGGATGGTCACGCAGCCCATTGACGTCGTCAAGACGCTCGTCCAGAGCCAGCCCGCGACGTCGCCGCTCTCGGCCCTCGAGGTTGTCAAGCACCACTACAAGCTCGAAGGCGCGGGCTTTCTCTTCCGCGGCTTTGGCGCAACGATCCTCCGCGCGTTTCCTGTCTCGGCCGTCACCTTCTTGGTGTACGAACGCTCGATGCAGTACATGAACATGGATTTTGAGTACGCGCCCAACGTCGAGACGCAATAAGACCCGAGTCCACCGTAATAAGTACAAATTGAAATACAAAATGCCTGGCGAAAACACTGTCGACTCTGTACGATGGCACGAGCCGTGGGACTTGGCGAGCGACACCAGATTCCATGGCCTGCGGCAATGAATCTTAAAAAGTGAGGACGGCGTCGGCGCCTCGGCCCATATTATTGCAGCGACGGTGATGGGTCAAGGTGAAAATAATGCACGAGCAGTGGCGATCGACGACGCCACCGTACCGTGCACCCCAAGCGGCGACCACAAGAATTCGTTGCAGCCATGCAGCTGGGTTTTAAATGTGGCATGTGCCGAAATGCAAAACCTCTCTTAATTAATATTATGGCCGTCAATACAAACAGTAAGGTTGGCCACGTGGCGTCCGACGTGCTCCAGATAGCCAGGTCGATCCATATTATCGATGCTACGAGGGTATTTAATATAAGAGGTTTTAAAAACGGCAATATCAAGTTTGAGAAATTTACAAGCCGACCGACAATAATGGCGAGGCTGGCCGTGCTGCTGCTGCTCCTGGCACTGGTGGCCATAGTGGCTGCGCAGACCGATCCGCCGGGCTTCAACAACTCGGACATCATGGGCTGGCTCGGGAACCGCAAGAAGGACGACGATACGGAGCTTGTCTGGAGCATCACGATGCGTGGCTCGACCCTAAGCGTCAACACGACGGCCGCGCAGCGCGAGTGGGAAAAGCTCTACCGCATCAACGGCGACATCTTGCGCAACGACCATACCAATCTGTGCCTTGAAGCGGCGTACTCGGCGTCGGTGCTCCGCGTCTACGGCGCCATCTGCAACGCGTCCTCGCCCGAGCAAACGTGGACCTTTGCGCACCGCCGGCTCGAGCACGCTATCTTTCGCCGCAACTGCCTCGCGATTGTCGATGGCGCGACGCCGGTCGTGCGCATGGAAACCTGCGACCAGTCGGCGGCCGTGCCCAGCAGTCAGAAGATCCGCTTCTTCCGCTAATAATGCCACTCGCCTGTATTTAACCTATCTACTGTTGCCACTCTGAGAGGCCTTTGTCTACGGCGCTGCACCATGGCACAACAGCGAGCATCAAGCGTAAGCGTAAGCGTGCGAGGCTGATCCCTAAATTCGTTAGCTCCATGTGCGTGTGGCGAGGGCTCATCACGGAGCTCGTTTCGCAGCTAGCGCTGTTGTGGCATCGGTGCGTCGACGCCATCCTCGTCGATGTTACGCTCTGCCAGCAACCCTCACTTGCAGCTCGTGCTTGCAACGACATTAGCCCACCAACTTCTTGTGCCTACTAGCCAGCATTAATTAATGAACGAGTTATCTTCGTTGCTACAGATTTCGCATACGTAGAGACTAGCCAACTCCATCTCTTCATGCGTTCGCCGGGCTGTGGCTGTGCAGGCGGCGGCGCGGGGGCTCGTCTTGCTCTTCTGTGGCCACCCTAGGACGCTTGCGGCCGCGGGTGAGGCCCATGACGACATAATCTGTAGAGTCCTTCTAGTCGTCGCGGTCGGCGGCAAAACTTCGCAGTTTGTTGAGGTCCTCGAGAAACGCCAGCGACTGAGGCGGCGTCAGCGACTGAGGCGGCGTCAGCGACTGAGGTGGTGTCAGTGACTGAGCTGGTGTCAGCGACTGAGCTGGTGTCAGCGACTGGAGGTCGCAACGCAGGACGATCGGCGACATATCCCGTGCGTTCTGATGGTACCAGCTCGTTGCCGTCCATCGATCCTTGGTTTTTACCATGGGTTTTTACGAAGGATATTAGTTGGTTTCCATAAAATGCAGTTGTATATATATTACATCGCCTTTATAACAGCAGACGACATTTTCTTTACATGCAGTAAACACATACTCTGCGGTCACTTAGACCCGCTGTACGTTGGGCGTCGCCTCCACATGGACGTACGGGTCGTCCGAGAAACTCTTGCGCGTCTCGGTATCTTCGCGGGCGAGAAGCGCTTTGAACTCACTGTCGAGCTTCGAGTGGTCTTCGTTGTTGTCAAACATGCAAAACACGGTCAGGACGATCGTGAGCGCAGAGATGGCTGCAAACGTGTACCACGTGCCAACGTAGCCGAAGCTCGGGTTGGTGACCCAGAGCGAAAAGCCATACGACCCAATCGACGCGCCGGCCTTGCCCATGGCGGCCGAGAAGCCGTGGCACGTGCTCTTGATCGCCGTCGGGTACATTTCCGTCGGCATGACGAACGTCGACGTGTTGGGCCCAAAGTTGGAGAAGAAGAGCGTCAAGCCAAAGAGGATGATGAAGACCGTGCTTTGGTCCTTGATCGTGTCCCAGCCAATGCCGAGGATCAGAAAGATGATCGTCATGAAGCAAAGGCCTTGCAGCTGAATCACTTTGCGGCCGAGCTTGTTGATGAAGAAGACAGCAACGTAGTAGCCGGGCAGCGCGACACACGAGATCAAGACGTTCTGCACGGCGATCGTGCGCAGATCCGACTTGGCGCCAACGACCGTGAGAATCGACGCCGAAAAGAGATTTTGCGCGTAAAACACAATGTCAAAGAGGAACCACGTGCCGGCCGTACCCAGGAGGCTGCGGCCATAGTGCTTGAGGATAAAGGTCCAGCGCACGGCCTTGACCGACACTTGGTCGGCCATCATCGCACGGTACGCCGTGGGCTCTTCGGCCGTGACGCGGTAGTAGACAAGAAACAAGGCCGGGAGCACGCCAATGCCAAAGAGGATGCGCCACATGAGTTCGAGGTCGCGCTTGGACTTGTCGTCAAAGACGTTGACCATGACGAGACCCATGATGCCGGCAAAGAGAAACCCGACCCCTTGCAGGGAGAACGTGAGCGCGACACGACGATTACGGTCCGCAGGTGACGTGGCATCCTCCGACGACGACGCGGCCGCGAGAGGATACTCACCGCCGATACCAAACCCGAGGATACCGCGCGCAAAGATGAGGAACCAGAGCGTGTTGTGGCCCGACCCGCCGTACGCTGCGGCGCAGAGAATTCCGCCAAAGATAAGCAGCGCACATGTCGCGACCATGCATTTCTTGCGGCCGTAGACGTCGCCGAGGAAGCCAAACGCGAGCTGCCCGAGGACCGCGCCAATGAGCGCGGCGGACGAGACGTTGGACTTCATCGAGGCCGTGTACACGCCCTTGCCGTACTGGTCTTGGAGGATCACGTTGATAATGTTGATGACCGAGAGGTCATAGGCGTCGTTGAAGAAGCCGAGACCGCGGAGGAAGAACTTGTTGACCATCGTAGAGGCGCAACGCGGTCGGTTCAAGCGGTGGGCGGCGCAAAGGCGAAGTGCGAGTGAGCGAGAATGCTACGAGTGCGGTAATTAATGTTCCACGTCAAGGCATATCTTGGAAGATTAGGCTAAGCGCGCGAGCTCTCGCTCTGAGTATGCTCTGGAATCTTGGCCATTCGACGAACATCAAGAGGGACCACCATGGTGTCGCTGATCTTGGGTGTCGATTTTGCGTGCATATGTCCAGTGCTGGGAAGACTGATGACTCTGCTTGGAGAAAGGCGGCTCGGTCCAGAGGGGTGGCATGGATCCCCAAGAGGCTGGGCGACGGCATTGGATGCGAGGAACTTGCGCGGTGGTTTCATTGCATTCGCACCGACGTGCACGCGACACCTTGTCAACCATAGGATCTGATGAAAGGCTCGCTGTTACTACACTATGATCAACTACAACTACTGCGCGAATGCCGACACCTTGACGAGGCGAGGTTTCGTCTCGCTTCGAGTACACCACCGGACGACACGTACTCGGACATCTAGTACTCGGGCATCGCCATGCGGCGCATGCTTGCCAGCAGAGTCGCCGAGTGACACTGCACCATGAGCTACTCGCCAGCGATCGCGATCGACGGCCTACACTTAAGACGGCGCGGGCGGCAAGGTCGTCCCGCACGTGGTGCCCCGTCCGCTCACCCTCGACGAGATGGCTGCGATCGTCGAACAGGTTGCGACCGCCGCGCGCAAC